GGTGAATGCTCCAACACTGGAAGTTTTTAAGAAGAGACTGGACAGCCATCTGTCCGAAATGGTGTAGGGTTTCCTGCCTGAGCAGGGGGTTGGACTCGATGACCTCCAAGGTCCCTTCCAACTTTATTATTATTATTATTATTATTATTATTATTATTATTATTATTATTATTATTATTATTATTATTATTATTATTATAACCCTCTTAAGAAAAATATACTTTGACAATGAAACTAATTTGAGAATGTGGTAAGAGTATTTTTTTCATTAGACATCTTTAAGCAGAGGCTGGAATGTTAAGGGATGCTTTGGATCTTTTAAGTTCTAGATTTAATAAGATACTGAACTAAGGCTACAAAGTTCTTTTGTTGTGCTTCTAAACTGAGAATGTGAAAATGATGCTTAAAGGTTACTTTCTTGGTGTAGAGATGAAGAGTTAAGTACTCTCTCTCCTATGGACTTTTCCAATATTAAAACCAGCAGTTTTGAGAACATTGTGGTACCAATGTTATTAGATCTTAGTTCAGTTATGAGGGACAGGTCATGAATGTGAGTCCATTTTGATTTTAACGTCTTAAGCAGCTTGTTAACAACTAAAGCTGACTTAGATGTGTGTTTAAATGTGTTTCTTTATAGGCCAAAGTAACAGCAATTCAGATACCTGTGCTGAATTTCGAGTGAAATATGTTGGTGCCATTGAAAAACTGAATCTTGACGAAAGCAAGACTTTAGAGGGACCCCTGGATTTGATTAACTATATAGATGTGGCACAGGTAAAGGTTGTCTATTTTAGCTATGTTAATCATGGTTTTTTAAATGAATTGAATGGATTTGCATGAGATAAGCCATAAACTAAAATTTGCACACCATAATGACAGGATTCTTATAGTACTTCAAGCAAAGCAGTTAAGCTACATTGGGCTTAGCTTAGCTTAGTAAAGCACTTGGCTTGCCTGCTATCTCAAGAATTTAGATACAGCATTTTTTAAAAAAATGCTTTTCAATTACTAACAAAAACAGAGAAATAGGACAAAGAAAAAAAAACATAATATGAGAAATCATTTTAACAGTAAACAGTTACAATTCTGTGTGTGTTTTTCTAATCCAAATAGAACAACTTGCCATTTATGTTTTCATGTCAGAATACCGTTTTTATTTCTTTCCAAAGCAAGATGGAAAGCTGCCCTTTGTTCCTGGAGAAGAAGAATTTATTATGGGAGTTTCCAAATACGGTATTAAAGTCACATCATTGGACCAGTATGTAAGTAAAGAATGGCTTTTAAAAATGCTATTGCCATGATTATAGGAGCAATATAAATTCTTTTATCCTTCCTCCAGGAGATTCTACAATATTAAGTTTACATACAACTTGATGAAGCAGGGATGGCATTCTGTGGCCTAAATATTAAGCCACACGCTTCATTTTAGCTTGTGTTGCTGACTTTTTGAATATCCTTTTCAAGAAGTTAACTAAAATTTACTAAAACAAGAATTGCAATGAATGCATGAAGCCTCCGGGAGGCAAAAAGCTCCCATTTCTACTTCTAAATTCCATCTAGAAATGACCCATTTTTTAGACCTGCTGACGTGTAGCTTACCTCTACCTCATGAAGTTCAATGTATTTTCAATAAAACCTTTCGCTGAAAAGGATCATCTACAGCTGATGTAATACAGAAAAGGTATTATTGGAATCTTATTCCAAGCTTGATTGCATGTTTGAGTCCCCGAAGGTTCATTAAAATGGGAGTCTGCCTTGTTGCAAAATGTTGCAGTGACAATGTTTCAAAGGAACGAGAATCCATTCCTCTTTCAGAATATTCTGTTAACTCTACCTGCCAATGTCCAGTTTTCCACTGCTCTGTCCCTGGATTGAGTTTTACTTTTGGCTTTCTCTTTAGGATTTCCCCACCACCAAGGGTAATTTGAACATGTTGGAAGTTATTGCTGGTTCTTTGAATAGAGAACCAGCAATAGTAGCTGGTTCAAGTAGTACAGTCAATTTGTTGGTTAGACATAGTCTGGTTTTAAGACAGTTGATACGTGGCTGGAATTTCCTAAGGAAATTTAGTGATGACTTATCCCTTAAAAAAAAAAATTATTTCCTTCCAAAAGTAATTATTGCATTGTCCTTTCATCTGTCTCTGATTAAAAGAAATTTTTTTTCTCAAGAGATGTGGATGTTAGCTAGTGTTTATTTTCTCTTATTATTTATTGTTAAATAGATGCACCGTACATTTCAGTGTTGGCTGTTTTCACTACAACACTAATCTAGGCTCCTAAAATTGTGGTCATAACTACCTTACTGATACAGGAAATTAAGATTTTGATAGCCTATAATTCTTCATAATAATAATTTCAGTAAATAAGGTGTAGAACAATAGTCTCTTTCCAAAGGCTAGCTTTGAGGATTTGGAAGTATTGGTGATACTGTGTCTTTTTTTTCTCTTTCATGATAATTTAAATTAATTAGTAGAACTTTCAGGATGTTTTGCATAGACATGCACTCTACCTAATCGTCCGGATGGTCTGCTATGATGATGGCTTAGGAGCAGGGAAGAGTTTACTGGCTTTGAAGACAACAGATTCAAACTCTGAAGAATATAGTCTCTGGATTTACCAGTGCAATAGTTTGGTAAGATTCGTGTGTATTTTAAAAAGCCACCTACCACACATTCTTGGCAAAGAGCAGTTGATCATTAAACCAATTCTGCTCTTTTATATTCACAAGTTACATTATTTCAGTCACTATTACATGCAGTAAACATTTGTCAACTGAAAGCTGAAGGAGAACATCCTGTAATTGGTACAGTAAAATGTTTTGTCTGCTGGTGAAAACAAATAGTTTCTTCTTATTTTCTAAAATGCAGGAACAAGCACAAGCTATTTGTAAAGTGCTGTCCACAGCCTTTGACTCAGTTTTAACATCTGAAAAGTCCTGAATACTGTATCATACATCATCCTGAAAAAGAAGTTCTTCTTCCTATGACTTCAGCACCTGGAGAAAAAAGTTCATATATGTTCCAAAATACTTTTTAAATTATTTTGGTATAATGTTTAAATTATATATAATTTTGTCATTACTGTTATTAAACAGTGGGACCAAAAATCCACCAAATGTTCTCTTATTGGAAGTCTGTGCTAAATTACACTATTTTAACATCTCATAAACTTGAAAAATAATAATAGAATATCTCCTGTCTATTCACTGCACTTTTTAAATTGCCTTAGTTCTGTATATATTTGACTGTTGGGAAAACAGAAGCATATCGTGTAAGATCAAGAGTTAGGAAGGCTAGATTTGTCATTAGATTTACAAACCGTCAAGATTTGGAGTATCACTCTTCCATTCCTGAACTCTCAATTGTTAAGGATATTTTTCACACAAACACAATGAGTCAATATGAGGCTTAAAGTAGTTTATTTTTTCAGTCTAATGACTGAACAGAAGTAAAATTAATCATGCTCCAATTATAAATCACTGCCTCTAGACACTAAAAATAAGAAATGGTCTTAGGTTATACAATGTATACAGTTGCTCTGCAACTAAACAATCAAAACCATCACATTAAAAATTATACATCTCAAGTAGCATTCTGAACTGCATTTTAAGTGTCTTATGCTCCTTTAAAAATGGTTAACACAGTAGTTGTATGTGCTTGGTAACAGTGTTGAATATGGCCAGCTCTATTGTCAGGCATGAAGTCTGAATGACCTCACAGGTTCAGTGTATTTTTTTTAAAAAAAATCCAGATTACGTGACCAGTTATGAATTAATGTTACATGTCACAGAAACTGTATTTTGAAATATTTCTTACAAGCTTACACTGTCATACTGATGTAGTGTGAGAAAATACTCTTATTTAAGATTGTCTAGTAGCTGTAATCAAGATTTTTCAGGATATCTGAAACTACCAAATAGCGTTCCAGCCATCTTCTTCAGATTAATCTTATCTTTAGGCAAATTCATGACTTTTATTTTTTGTTTGTCTGACAGCTATATGTATTATAGATTCTATAATATTTGATGGTATCCTTGGTTTCAAAAGAAGTTTTAGCATAGGAAAACCATTTTATTCCAAGCATCTTGTAGTACGTATGTAGTACAGTTCATTGGATCCTACCCAGTGTGAAATCTGAGGCTAAAGAAGCTTCAAAAGGTTACTTTGCACATAGTTGCTGAAAGATTCTGTGTTAAACACTGTGAGTAATGTGCAAAATAATGTGTGAAATTATGTCCTTGCATTTGCCAGGCATATAAACATAAAGGGTCAAAACCCAACTGAATTAACCAGCATCTGAATAAATGTGTAGTGGCCAACTATTCTCCTAATATACATATATATTCAATGGGAACTTTGAATATGCAGACTTAGCTTTAAAACATACAACAAAACTAGCTTGAAAATATTCCAGTTTGCTCCTCCATCACACTGCAACCACTCATATTGTTCTTAATATCAGCTAACTGATTTGCATCAATACATCTGACAAATTGCCTCAAATGTACCACTTCAGCAAGGCAACAAAGATATTGAGATCCAACATTTCCCCCCATCCAATATAAATATACCAAAGGGTCCTTCCCCCATCTGTTTCCACTTCCACTAGCCAATATATACATAATTTCTGTGTCAGAAATTCAAAGTTCTCTTGATAAATCTAGAGATACAATCGTCACAAAACTTGTGATCAAAGCCAATGTGACCTGGACATTGATATTCTAATTCTATGCTACCAGTGCACATTTTGGGTAGCATATGCAAAATAAAAACTGTTACAATATCACAATATACAAACATTAAAAGGACATAGCTATGTTCTGTAAGAGTCTATTCATTTTGAATTATGAAATCTATTCACAATTATTAACAGTGTTAACTACCATGTTCTAGAATATATTTCAGTACACAATGCCAGTCCACAAACAGACTGAACTGCTTGCCAGACAGCGGTGTATACCCTAGCACAGGACTGTTTGGATCAGTGACTATGACACTGTTAACCGTAGCAATCTCAGCATGAACATACCACTATGTGCTTTACAACTTGTTTTCAAAGAAAAGGACTGTAAGTAATATTTTTCATAAACTTTCCCATTTAAATTTATCAGCAGTATCTTCCTGGTTCCCCCCCCCTTACCTCGAGGGTAATTAGTGTATGGCGTAAAATATTAACTGCATATTTAGTATAGAAAACTATGACCTCATACTTATAAAACGAGGTAATCAGATTTCAGTTTTTAAAATATCTACACATCAAATTACTAAAATATTTCTTTAATGCAACCGAGGACATTCCTAACCAAGCATCTTCACGAATATCTATGCATATTACTTATGTTTAGCTGCTCCAAGGAAGCAGTTTTCCACTGAGATACGAGGGCCACGTGCAATTTTTTTTCTCAGACTGCTTTATCTTAAAGCTTTTCTCCTGACTTCATGCACAAGGGGAGATTGGCAGGGAGAATAATACCTTCTTTTCTTTTCCTCATAAACTGATAAATATTCCTAATTTCTTCCTTTGTATTACAAAGGTATAAAATCTTAAACGCTATTTACCAAATAAAGGTACCCAGACCTCCATTTGTGCCAGTACAAGCCATCATAAGGAAACATAAGCTATTCAAACAATGGGAAAACTGGACTAGGTTATTAGATCCCAATTTTTTTAAAGTGTTGCTATAAGCCAGGTTTTGACTTTTTATTGGACTCAAATGTTTTAAGCCTGCCAATGCTGCTGCCTAATGCAGAGTCATTTTCAAGCACATATTCATCACCGATTGGGTGTAGGGATGTTTTGTTCCTATGCATCCATAACCTTTTTTCAACAGAAGAAAAGGGTTCAACTGTTCAGAGACATGGATTTCCTTGCAACACCTAAGCCTTAGGTATCTTATTTGGAGTTTCTGGGTTTGTTTTTCTGTAACAAAACACATACTGTGTGAATGTACTTATAGAGGTTTCCTCAAATGTGATTAGATTATTACTAGGACATCAAATAGGGCTGGATTTCTATCACTTTCAGTCCTTTCCATCCATGCATTAAAAAAAATATATGATTGAGATTGCTATTTAGAAGTCTTTGGCAAAAGACTTCTCCACCCCCATCCTACTTCTCCAATCAATGAACATTGTGGATGGCTGCGGACATGGATAACAAGAAACTCCACCATGTCACAACTGAGGGGATGTTCTTATTTTTCTTAAAGTGTTTTAATGTACTAAATAAAACCAAAAGAAACTTTCATTCTTTAAAATGAAATTTCAATTGTCAATTTACTTACAGTCCTGAGACTGATCTCAAAAGCCGTACTCACCACAAAAGTTAAATACTTATTGTAGGCCTGACAATTGGCACTAAAATGTAACACATTAGTGCAGTCAAGAGATTAATCTTCTAGCTTTCTTAATACGCCTTTCACATTGTCATGGATTTGGGTTCTTGGTTTTTTTGCAGCTTTCAGCAATCATCACAAAACATTTTTGAGTGGCTCTGTTATAAAAGTCCCATGGAAAATAATTTTAAGAACTGCAATAACGAAGATTCAACTATGTTACTTTGAAGTATTCCAGTGAGGCATTTGATGATGAACAGGGAGTCCCAATGAAATATAGAAAGGGAAACTCTCTCCACTTGCAAGGAGCTGTTTAATCAACAATAAAGTGCACAAATGATACAGGAAAAGCACCTTTTCGATTAGGATCTCCATCAATATGCCCAATCTGAAAAAGAGAAAAAAGTTTAGAGTAAATTATGAATTCAATATAAGGACAACTAATATAACAAGTTTAAAATTTTCTCAGTTCCTTTTAGCCATATAAAATTACTTAAAAGTACATTGATTTGGTAAAATAAATATTTACCTAAACATTTTTTTTTGCTGTTTTTGGACTCTGTCTCCAACATTGTTAATTACGTATGATCACAAGTACTGATAGGGGAATTTTACTACATGGTAGAGTGGGTTAATTATATTGGGTGAGTACAGCCAATGAAATTTCCCTTCAATGCTACAAGACATATCATATTGACCTAAAAGGAAACTGATCATGAATTAAAATAATTTCCCCAAAAGGAGTTTCAGGATAATTTCCGATCTTCACTATATTCTCAGTAAAATCATATAGGTAAATTCTGGGGGGAAGGGAGGGAACTAGCCTTTCTACAATATTTTGGTCATAAATTAGGTGAAAACAAGCTATGCACAGCTTCAACTCTCTTCCCTGCTTTGAGCATGCCGTTATCATTGGCAGATTAACAAAATAAGATTACCACGTACATATAACCTATGCACCAGATCAACATGTGATGGCTGGTTCACAGGACGTGCTATGACAATGGCTGGGTTAACTTCCACATGCTGAACTACAAGGGGCACGACTCCATTTTAGCCTAGCCTTGCATACTGTGTCAACCTCACCATTCAGCTGCTCATTCAGCTAACCCAGGGGTAGGCAACCTTGGCTCTTTTATGACTCATGGACTTCAACTCCCAGAATTCCTGAGCCAGCCACGCTGAGGGGGAAGGGAGAGGTTTCCAAGCTGAGCCATGCTGGCTCAGGAATTCTGGGAGTTGAAGTCCACGAGTCATAAAAGAGCCAAGGTTGCCTACCCCTGACCAAGGGGATGCTGAAACAGTTGTAAGTGTGAAAAATGGTCGTAAGTCACTTTTTTCAGTGCTATTGTAACTTCGAACAGTCACTAAATGAACTGTTGTAAGTCGAGGACTACCTGTAATCATAGCTGGCTCAGGAATTCTGGGAGTTGAAGTCCACGAGTCATAAAAGAGCCAAGGTTGCCTACCCATGAGCTAGCCTATGTGCATACTGATTCCCCTGGCAAGGATCCAATTTTCTTGCCTGAGTAGGAAGGGGAACGTAAATGGCAGAGGATGGGGGGGGAGGGCTTCCTACTCTGCAACCCTCTCCCCAACTCTTTAGGAAACAGTTCTGCAGCAGCAAAGTGAACCTAATGTAGAACTGGCTAACTGGGGATGCCCTTTCCACGTTCCACCAAGAAAGCCACTAGAAGTGTTCTTGGCATCTAGAAATAAATGTTCCCGAGTGGTAATTTCACTGAATTCTGGGGACAGCAGGATTGGGCCAGCTGGGGAGGACAAGAGGGCACTCCTCCTCCCTCATTTATCCAGATATGAATTCTGTGCAAAAGAAAGGAATAAAAAAAAAAAGTCTCCAGTTCAAAGGAGACAGCGTTAAAGTTTACGTATTTCATTTAGTAGATACTTCTGGAAACAGACGGCTTCATCCGGGAAGCCAATTCTGTTGATTGGTGCTTTATTTTTTTATAACTGCAGACAGCAAACTACAGAGTTTAAGTCACTTATCGACTTCAGCTGAAAACAAAAATACTTACCCACCACTCCTGATCTTCCTCCCCATCAACTATGATGATGTCGCCTTCTGAAAATGTGAGCTCATCGGGATTATCTGCTACACAGTTATAGATTGCTTTTACCCTTTTGGGCTTTGTTTTTGACTGTCATAAACAGAGAGAGAAAGAGAGATAAACGGGACCTGGTGTTGAAAATATAGGGAAGACACCATAGAAATAGGCTACAGCAGATATGTCAAACTTGCGATGTCACGTGACGTCGCGCAACGTCTCGGGCTGGTTTTGCCATTGCCGGCAAAGGGGTGGGCGCGGCTTCCGGATGACGCATCCGGCCCACAGGCCGGCAGTTTGACACCCCTGGGCTACAGTGTCTCTTCTCAAATAGACAGAGGTAGCAGACCTTAAACCAAAACAGGATACTTGTCTGTGTAAATTGAATATTATCTACGGTATACTGGCTAGCAAGTTCTCCAGAGTTTCGGGTCAATTTTTTAAAGGTTTATCTGGGGAGCTGAGTAAACCTGGGACTATCGCTGAGGCATGACATTCAATGTATTATTTTTCCCTACTTGTATTCTTAAGTACGTTTGCCTTCTAGTACAATTTTTCCCACTAGCGAAGGTCACACTTTGGATCCCTGCAGTTCTCAGATAGCATTCCATCATCACCACGATCATTTCAAAATCAAAACAGTGGTCAAAGTCAACAGTCACCACTTTTATTTCTGAGAAGCCAGACATCACTCTTTGTAGGTGAAGCTTATACAGTTCCTTCTGAAACATGCAAAAGGATTTTCTTCTGATTCAAATTCAAATTCAAATTCTGGACATTTCATTGAGTGCTATTTCAATGAGTTAGCTATTTTGTTTGCTTTTCTGAACAGGCATCCATTAATTGACATGACACCCTGTGCTCGACTTACAATCACAATTGAGCCCCAATTTTTTGTTGCTAAGCAAGACAGTTGTTAAGTGAGTTTTGTACCATCTTACGACCTTTTTTCTCACACTTGTTAAGTGAATCACTGCGGTTGTTAAGTTAGTAACACGGTTGTTAAGTGAATCTGGCTTCCCTATTGACTTTGCTTGTCAGAAGGTTGCAGAAGGTGATCATGTGACCCCGGGACACGGCAACCGTTATAAATACACGCCAGTGGCTAAGCGTCCAAATTTTGATCATGTGATCACGGGGGATGCTGCAACAGTCGTAAGCGTGAACAATGGACATAAGCCACTTTTTTTCAGTGCTGCTGTTAACTTCAAATGGTCACTAAATGAATGGTTGCAAGTCGAGGACTACCCGTTTTGGCAACTTATAAAATACCTCAAAAAATATAGACCAACAAGATAAAAAAATACAAAAGAGAGCATGACATAACCAAGGGCAGCCCACAATTATTCAATGTTCTAACCCTTACAAACGGACCTATTTAGCAGGCTGGCCCAACTGCCCAAGGAGAAAAGCTACATCTTCAAATCCTTAATTGAAGATGAACGGGATCGAATCTCTAGGGATATGCAGGCCGAAAGAGCGGGGGCTACAATAGAGAAGACTCATCTTTTTGGTCCTGTCAAATGATGCAATTTTATAAAAAGGATCTCGAGCAAGCCCATCCTGATGGATCTCATTGGATAGGCAGGGAGATTATTATAATAATAATAAAGTTGGAAGGGAACTTGGAGGTCATCTAGTCCAACCCCCTGCTCAGGCAGGAAACCCTACATTATTTCAGACAAATGGCTGTCCAGTCTCTTCTTAAAAACTTCCAGTGTTGGAGCATTCACCGCTTCTGGAGGCAGGTTGTTCCACTGGTTAATTGTTCTAACTGTCAGGAAGTTTCTCCTTAGTTCTAGGTTGCTTCTCTCCTTAGTTAGTTTCCACCCGTTGCTTCTCGTCCTGCCTTCAGGCGCTTTGGAGAATAGCTTGACTCCCTCTTCTTTATGGCAACCCCTGAGATATTGAAACACTGCTATCATGTCCCCCCTCGTCCGCCTCTTCATTAAACTAGACATACCCAATTCCAGCAACCGTTCCTTATATGCTTTAGCCTCCAGACCTATAATCATCTTTGTTATCCCATGTAGTATTTTGTCTCTTGCAGATACAATTGAATAGGTATAAAATACAGCTATGTTATTAAAAGTTATAGCTATAATTTATTGTTTATAATTAACTCCCAGCTCAAAGATGCTACTTGGAATAGATTTTCACGGCTTGTTCAAAGTACAGCTACAATTGCAACATACAAACATTTTTCTTGGAATGGTCTCTGACCTCCATGTGATTTCAAGCAAAAGTTCTCCCAAAGTGAGGGATACATAAAAAAGCCAAACATTACCTTTTTGTTTGTTTCTTGGTCAAACTGAATGTATCTGAATTCAACAAAGAGGGCCAAATGGATTCTGAAGAAATTAAGATTCTGTACAATGTCCTTAAAGTTTCAGCATGGAGAGCTTCCAACTGCAACCTTTTAAGGGAATGACATGCTTTGCTACTTACTATTTGGGACTTTCTTGGCATTGGTGCCGGAGGCTGGATTGGCACTGATATGTTGGTAGAAGGGGCAATTTGAGATCCAGCAGTCTCAGATGCAGAGGAAGGCTCAACTGTCATTAAACAAACAAAAAATTAAAAGTCAACTTTAAAATAACAGACATCGCTCTATTCTTAGATAATTTCTCATGTCATTACACTTGTTAACCAAGCCACTACAAAAATAGCACTACAAAAATAGTCATCCTGTCTCACATCAAAAGCTTCTAAGCGATATCACTGGGATCAAGGATGCAATTCAGCATGTACTAATGATAATTAAAAAAAATATAGATAGGGAATGACACCTATGTCTTGCTCAAATCCCCTGTTAGCAAAATCTTTATATTCATCTTCTCTGCAATTCATTTTTCGTAACTACCCAGAAAATGCTGGGGCGATTTAGTCACTGCCTCGAAAAATGTAGTTGGATTGGTGGAAAAAAATGTGGTTTGGTTGTTATAGTAAATCCTTCTGTGCATAAAGCACAGCACAAAACCTACACTGTGAAGTCAGTTCATGTACTATACCTTTTGTTACATAGGAAATAAACATGTTGGTTAGTTCTAAAGAAGTGGAAATTAACAAAATAAAATTTAAAAAATAATTACCACAAGACTGCAGAGATCCAGGGCCCTTACTCTTGTTAGTTAAGTTGGATGACTTGTCAGTCCTATTTAGGAGGGAAGCAAAGGTTATTCTCCATCATTGCTTCCCATTTAGCCTGTCACTGTGATCCCATTTATTTTCTGAAACAATATTCAGCATACTGTTCTGTACTGAACTTTTAAACATATTGACCAATGTTCAACCACATCTTAAATATCTCCTCAAAATAAGTATCTGACCAATTATAATGACAATAACAGCCAGAATGTTCATAAATGGTCATTTTACCTATAGAATTCTAGAAATTCAAGTTGCTACGCCTGGAGAAGCCTTAGGCTAAAGAAGACTTCTGTACTAGTTTTCACTGCCTTTTTACTCCTTCCTTCAATTTAATTTTCCCCCTTATGCACAGCAAGCTATGAATAGGAAGTTTTGGAAAAAGCATGTCACATGGAGAGATGCAATTTTGTTTTCCAAACTACACTTCTCTGTTTAATTGAACGAGTAACAGAAACCATAGGTAACCATAGGAGACAATTCTGGTCAGCCTAATCCCATTTTTACAGTATTTCTAACAATGCTTCTGATTGTCTCCGGTGAACCTCACAAGACCTAGATAACAGATATTTACATAAAAATGAATGTTATACCACGAATATTCTCTAGCATGACTTCAGTTTAAGCCTGATTTTTTTTCTCATCACAATAAGAGGTGATATCTAGACTGTTTTTCCACAATTTTCTTATTAAAGCTTACCCACTCCCACCCTCCATGCTTTGAAGCCTATCCTGCCAATGTCTCTTTTCTGCTCTCTCTTGTTCCTCACTTAACGACGAATTAAATCAACAGAACAAAACCTTCAAGAGAGCCATTCAGCAGAAACTACAAATAATTAGTACAGCTTAACATTCAGCCATGTGTATCTCACAAATTACCCAGAAAGAGGCTTTTTCTGAGATATTCGACTTGGAGGCTGTGGAGGAAGTGGTGGTGGCGCAGGTTTGGCCTGTGGTATAGTCGGTTGTTTTGACTGCTGGTTCAAAGCTTCAAGCCCACAGGCTGCCTTTGCAGCTGGAGGTGCTGAAGAGAGGAGATCTATAAAAATGCACAGACAATTATTATTCTGATGACGAATGCTGGAATGCTTGAAACGAGTCCCCCAAATAACATACTGCTTTAAAAGCTTTGCTTTATTTTAAAAAACCGAGAGATAATTCATCTTTTTTTTATACCAAAAATTAAGGCTCAAGACTCAGGCTACAATTCTAAATACACTTTTTGGGAATTCAGTTCAATTAAATAAGAATAGTTTTGCATATAAATGGAAGGAATTGACTTGTGAGAAGCTAATTGTACACGGTCTTAGTTGTTGGACACATTAGAAATGTTAAGTGGTCTCATTTGAATAGACTCACTTATGCGTATAGCCACCTGCAATTGGCTATATTAAGGTAGTATGGACAGTGCATTAAATATCATGAGTGTATTCACTCACTCACAAGCTCTTCAAAATTCTTTGTTTCACTGCAAGGAACTATGATGGCTGTCCCTTTGGAAAATCATACACTGAAAGCTAAACTAGCAGAAACCTAATTACTTTAAGACACTTACAGGATGTTAATTTCATGGCTGGTTGATATAGTAACCTTCCTGAGAGGTGTTTAACGTCTTTTTAAAACATTTATTTGTTCAATTTCTATAGCTGCCCATCTTGGCCAAGATCATCGCATTTGTAATAATATTTTCCATGAAATATACACAGCCCCAGTACAGTTTCAGAAGCAATCAATAGCAGACCATCCCAGTGCACAATCAAGATACTGAATAATATTGTATGCAGTCTTTTAAAATGTCAGGACAGTCTCAACTCTTTGCAAAGCTACCTTGGAAATACCATATCCTCAGCCCTGTTTGAAAGAAATTACAAATACTCAGAAACCACGATAGCCAACCTATGTTCACCAGAGAGAAAGAAGAGTAAGAATGAGTTGTGGAATGGACAGTCAAGGCCAACCATGATTAGATGTAGCAAAAACCAAGAAAGCAGCGGAAAGAGCAAACATACTTGTAGATGTTACACGCAATGGTGGAACAGGGGGGTGGACAGTTGGTGGATCTGATGAAGACCTTTGCCTGCTTATGCTTTCCATTCCTAAAGAATTTGTCTTCCACAGTGTGTTCGATGAAGGAGTTGTCTGAACAGCACTGCCAAGAAATGAAGACTGAACTAAAAAGAAAGGAGAACACTGTATTATTATTATAATTATAGTTGGCTGTGAAATGAGCAGCTTTACTTCAGTGGACTGGCTGCAATCCAGAAGTACGTGTATTTCAGATTTAAAGAAAGGTGGGGCCATTTCTGGGGCCCTGTTTGGACAGGTATAGCCGTCATGAATCGTGTGATACCTAGGTCTGGTTCAGGTATTACAAAGGCAGAATACCTCACATTCGAGGGTTCCACATGCCAGGCCAACATTGCTCCAGTAATGTGTTTTTTCTATAGATATTCATATTTTCAATATGAGCACCTGCAACACAAATGTCTTCACTGGTACAACTGTACTCGTGTCGGACTGTATTCTGAAATCGTGTTCATTTGCAAGAACAAACAGAAAAGTTACTGACGGCGTCACAGAGAGGGATGCAGGTCTGCATTCTTTTTAAATATTGGAACGGAGCTTCTGGATAACTGTGTGCCAGTTAGTCAATGCAGCTACTGCTCTATGGAGTCAAAACTTTCATCATACTTTCAAACAGCAATTTTCAACAGGGCACATCATCAAGATGTAATTATATTCCTTCGTCCAATTTGTTTAACACACTTTTAAAACACTGAATTATTGATGCGTTCATGCAGTTTTAGCTGATTCGGCCGGTAATATAAATCACACTATTTAAGGAAATGGATAAACCAGGCAACTGAATTAGGATGTACAGGGAACACAACTTTTTCTCTTATCCCATTTGATGAGCTGGAACTTTTAAATCTTCTGATATGATATGACAGCAGACAAAGGAATGATTAGTTGCTCCCACTTCCCATAATTTTATTTTTCACCTTTTTGTGGCAAGTCAGTTGCCAGATATGCCACAAAACAGATATATGTAAAGGGGCAGATGACAGATGAGGAAATGAATTGGCAAATCAAACAACTATTATGTTTCCGATTAGTTATCTTAGGGATTTCTGATCATGTCGCAGTTATACATGTTAATTGATGAATCACTTCTTTCCTGATGATGTAACAATCGCTAAGAAGTATTTTGCTGATAACCCCTGAACTGCAATAATTGGTTGTCAAAAAGCAGGAACAACAGCGAGAAAAGCTGCAGTTTGTTAGCTAATGAGGAGCAAAAGCAGCAGCCCCGTTTGCTGATAGGACCTACTTAGCTTGAGAGCATAACCTGCGTAAATCATAAAAAAAGGGAAAGGGACACCCAAGCTGATCTTGGCTGGGCCTATACACCCTTAAATGCTGTGATTTCATTTTAGTTATCTGTCCTCTCAAAAGATTAATTAATTTAAAGTTTGCTCCTAGGGGTACAGCACTATATTCTCTGACCGGAAGATGGACACGGTGCTGTTATACCACAAACTCTACGATCCCTCTCCTTTGGCTGAACTGGATGGCATTTCAGGAAATAGCTTCCTGTGCGTAAATGGGCACAACTTCCTCACCCTGTTGTATCAGCATCCTCCATTCAACAAGTTGGCTGTTCTGCCATGCCAACTTTTTTTTTGTTTGTGAAGGAGAAACAAGAGCTAAGGGGAAAAAAAAACCCACTTACATCAATCATCCATTTGTTTCAAAATGCCCACACCTCTGAAAGGCAATTCAATTTTCAAAGTGCTTTACTGTACGCCCCCCCCCCTTTTAAGCAGAACAAAATCCTGCAAAATCCTCATTTTATCAGAATAGTTGTCATACATTCTATACGATTTGGCGACAATATTCTCTTGAAGGGAGGGCAGAAAAAAATGTTAAAAATTGCAAAACAGAGACACGCAGCCAGCAGCCTCGGAAACACTTTCCACGTCAATCAGCTAAGGGATGTTGCTATTGCTCACAAGCAACCTACATATAGAACAGGAGTACCCAACCTCCGGGCTGTAGCCCTTTGAGAACCGGGACGCACAAGGAGCGGGCAAAGCTCAATTTGCGCAAGAGGCATGCTCGCACGCCCACTGCTTGCGCGGAACCATTCCCTCTCCCCACCACTGCCGCCACTACCAGTCCGCAGAGCCAGAAAGGTTGGGGATTGTTGATATAGAGCAGGGGTGTTAAACTGCTGGCCTGTGGGCCGGTTGCATCATGCAGAGGTCCCACCCACCCCAGCTCTGGCAATGCAAAAAAAGTCGTGATACATCGCGACATGTCACGTGATGCGGCAAGTTTGACGCCCGTGATATAGATGGAATATGTTTCCCAAGCTCATCTCTTGCAGTGACACACACAAACACAGAGCACATATAACTTCCACTCCATCAGTGGAAAGAGACAGCCGTGACTTTGACGCACTTAAGACCTCTGACATTCCTCAAGGATTAGATACACTTTTTATACACTTAACACTTGATTTACATGTAGGCCTCAACTTACAACCATTTGTTCAGTGACCATTTGAAGTTACAACAGCACTGAAAAAAAGTGACTTATAATCATTGTTAACACGACTATTACACCATATCCACGGTCAAGTAATCAAAATTTGGACGCTTGGCATGTATTTATGACAGCTGCAGTTTCTCTTCTGACAATGGGGAAGCCAGATTCAGTTAACAACTGTGTTGCTAATTTAACAACTGCAGTGATTCCCCTAACTGTGACAAGAAAGATCATAAAATGGGGGCAAAACTCGCTTAAAAACTGTCTTGCTTAGCAATGGAAATTTTAGGCTCAACTGTAGTCGTAAGTGGAGGTCTACCTGTATATGCTCAGCTGTTGTGAAGAAGAGGAAGAAGATATTTGAGTGCACATTCTTGGCATAAAAATAGAAAGCACACAAAGTCCTCCCAGGGAAAAATCAAAAGTGACCTTTAGATATTTTCAGCTATTAAACTTTTCTTATACTTTTAGATTTTAAAAATTGATTTCATTTCATCTCATTTCTAGAATAAAACACTGAACCAAAAGGAAGATCTTGACAAAAGGTTGAACTCTGATTGCTCTTATTCATAAATTATACAACACTGTAAATCAGATGTAATCCATTATGTGGAATAGTTCCAACTTGTAGGGAGTGAAAATTCTTTTTTTTTCCTTCTTGTTTCTTCTCTGTTCAGTTTCTACTTCTTCAGTTGAGCATTTGACCAAATCTAGAATATTATTTCCAAAGCCGACAAACATTTTTCCATTATTCTTTGTACAACTGATGCACTTACACTATCAAAGATAACCGCTAAATTACGGAGGCTCTCGAAGCGCAAGCCACATATGGCAGAAAATAATATCTACTGTTAATTACTACAAGGTCAGAACTGCAGAATTTGTCCCAAGGCCCAATTAGAGAAATTGAAATTTGGGGATATTTAGAACAGTCTAGTTTTGCAAGCTGCATAGCATACATCACATTTATTTTCAAAAGAAGCCATTTACACAGTACGTAGCCATTTGGACATTTAAATCAATAGGAAATAAATGGTAGATCAAAGGTCCTACTTTAGAACAGAGTTGTTGTTCACAGCCAGTGAACCCAAATTTCTACATTGAGAAATGATGTAAATATTTGAATCGTTGATGGAATTTAGTTCTGGCTTTTACATTCATTTGCATCTTCAAACAGCACAATTAATGGAACCACTTGTTGACGATATAAATTAGAAATCCCATGTGATATATCCTAATGCAACAAAAATCGTTAATAAAAACTTTACTACCGTGTTTCTCCGAAAGTAAGCCCTACCCCAAAAATAAGCCTTAGTTTTGGGGGGACGCACATGCCTAAAAATCAAGCAAGGGCGAGGGGGGTGGAGCTGCCCCACGCGCCCTGCAGCCTCTTACCGTTGCAGCCAGGCCTTCCTTGCCGGCCCATTGCTTCTGCGGCACCCCCCCAGAAGGGCTCTGTAGCCAAGAACCGAGCTATGGATTCAATTCATAGCTTGGTTCTTGGCTGCAGAGGCCTTTCCGGAAGGCCTCTGATGGCAAAATGCAGGCTGGAGCTCCATTCTCAGCTACAGAGGCATTTCCTTTGGCCACTGAAGTGGGCCGGCTGGGTGGGGCTGTTGGTGCCACTGCCGCGAGGTGAGACCATGGAAAAGATACCCCCCCAAAATAAGACCCGGTGCCTCTTTTGGAGGCAAAAAAAAAAAAGACCAGGTCTTATTTTCGGAGAAACACGGTACTATATGTTTGCTTTTACTGCCTGAAGCTTTTTTCAAAAATTAGGCCCCAATTCTAATATAGATGTCAACGCTGATAACATCGGATGTTCTTGCTTTGACAACATATGGAGATGCAGCCATTTTCCTTCTTATGTTTTACTCTTAGAATTAGAGTTAGAATGAGATGATATTGGGGGGGGGATGTGCATGGGAGTTTAGTTAGACATAACAATATTGTAACTAGGGTGAGAACCAAGGTTTTTTTGAAATAAGAGATGATAAGAAATGGCGGGTTGAAGAACTGGAGGGAAAGCCTACATTTCAAACTAATTGGAGAATGTGATTTATGACTGTTAATTAGAGGAGGGAATTGTGCTTTGATACTATGTGCTCAGGGGAGGGGAATTCAGATTCTGGCTTTGCCTATGTACCTGCCGATGCTATGCTGTTCGAATAAAGATTCTTTATGGTAAACAATGCCTCGAAGTTCTTTGAAGAGTTTCATCTGTCGGAACCATGACAATAGCATTTAATTTCAGCATACTTTTTTTTTCTCGTATCTATTCTGATTATTCTGAGCAGTTTAATGCCAAGTTAAAAGGAGGCAATGTATATTTTAACATTTATTTGGCCAAATTAACAAAACCCCACATCGTCAAAGGGAAAAAAAAAGAACCAAACAGTTTCCTGCAGTTCCTCATCTTGTAAAACACGAGGGCGTTAGTACCTTTCCCGATATTCCTGGGCGGCAAAGGAGGTGCGTTGGTAACAGGCGCTGCAGGCTGAGCGGGAGGTGGGCTGCTACTGAGGACGGCTCCATAGGTCTCATTTTGCAATAGGCTTGGCATGAAACCTCTCTGTTTGTCCTTGGCTACATTGGCAGCATCTCTTGCCAGAGAGGCGACATTAGGCTGAAGCTGGCTTGATCCTAGTTGATAGAAACTCACAGGTCTGTCCTCTCTTCGACTGGGGCTGGCTTGCTATAAAAAAGAAGAATCCAAAAAAGAGCCCTATTGTCAAATATTTTGTTCTAAATAATACTAGACAGGAAGTATTGGAGATTGGGCATCCTTTCACAATACTGTAACTAAGACGTTAATTTTAAATACTAGCAGTCCCCAACTTACAACAGTTTGTTTGGTGACCGTTCAAAGTTACGACGACACTGAAAAAAATGTGACTTATGACCGTTTTTCAAGTTACAACCTTTTCAGCATCCCCGTGGTCATGTGATCAAAATTCAGCCGCTTTGGTGACTGGTTCATATTTATGACCGTTGCTGTGTCCCAAGGTCATGTGATCCCCTTCTGTGACCTTCTGACAAAGTCAATGGGGAAGCCAAGTTCACTTAGCAACCGGGCTATGAACTTATCAGCTGCAGTGATTCACTTAACAATGGTGGCAAGAAAGGTCATAAAATGGGGCAATGTCTCACTTAACAACAGAAATTTTGGGCTCAATTGTGGTCTTAAGTCAAGGATTACCTGTACAGTTATCCAAGGATTATTTCAAGCTAGACCTGGGCATTTTATGGCCCTAAGTCACATTCAGCCCTTTGGCTATCCGTCTGTCCTGCATGAGATCAGTCGGAAATTAGAAATTGCACGTAAATAAGTGCATGCTGTAAATGCAATGCAACTGCATTGCTTTTATTTTGAAGCTGACTGCTTTTTAAAAAAAAATTATGCGTGTGCACGTGTGTACACCTTCACAGCCCAATTGGTTCAGCCCTCCACAACAGTCCCAATTTCTCATATGGTCCCTTGAGAAAATTAATTGTCCACCCTCGTTCCAAGTGGATATAATTCAAAATGTACCTCTCTCTCTTTTTTTTCAACTTATCCCAATTACAAATAAAGCAGAAACCTTTATAACGTGTGTGAGTGAAAGAAAACCAGTATACAAGCATGGAAAAAAGGAGCGCATGTCTAAGGCAGTGATGACAAACCTGCAGCCAAACAACTGGAGGGCAACAGGTGATTTATCTCTGCCTTGAAGACTATTATTATTTTTTGAATACACATTTCAGGCAGGCATGGATTTAAATTGTGATAGTTTGAATTACGGTTGGAGTTGAACTGGGGAGCTTGAATGAAAAGGACCCACGATCAAGTCCTCTCTCAACAAGAAACTCATTGGGTGATTTTAGGACAGTCACTATCTCGGCCCAACCTACGAAGGGAAATCTCTTTGCAAGTTATTTTTTAGTTCAGAAGAATAAGCATGATACAAATGCAATAATAAGACAAAGACTAAACTAAAGGTGATACATTTATTAATGTTAATAAATCAAACAGCTTATACATTAGAGTAGCTAATTTCAATTTTGTGTCTATGCTATAAGTACGGAACTCTGTTGTGGCATAAGGCAAATGAAGCTGGTAACATTCAGTCATGCCTTCAAAGTTGTGTATTAACAGCCCTTAATCTGATAAATGGGAGCTTGGTGAATGACATACCAACCACAGCAGCAATTTGTGAGTCTGTGACTGTATCATAATTTTGGACAGCAGTGTAATGGACAGGAAAAATTGCTTGCTTCTTATTTATTCCTTTTTCACCTGTCTCATTCATAATACAGGTAATCCTCAACTTACAGTCATTAATTTAATGACTGAAGTTACAACGGCACTAAAAAAAGTAATTTATGACTGTTTCTCACACTTACAACCATTATAGCATCCCCGGGGTTACAAGATTAAAATTCAGATGCTTGGCAACTGGCATGTTTTTATGATGGTTGCAGTGTCCCAGGATTATGTGATCACCTTCTGCAACCTTCTGACAAGCAAAGTCCATGGGGAAGACAGATTCACTTAGTAACCGTGTTACTAACTTAACAACTGCAGTGATTCACTTAACAAGTGTGGCAAGAAGGGTCGTTAAATGGGGCAATGTCTCACTTAACAACTCTCTTGCTTAACAATGAATATTTGGGGCTCAATTGTGGTCGTAAGTCGAGGACTACCTGTGGCCTATTACCTGGGAAACTAGAGGTATTTACGCGTGCTTCAATCAAATCACAAAGTATTCGAATACATACCTGCAGTTTTTCATCCACGTCATCGTCACTTTCATCTAGGTCTTCATGAAGTAACCGCCATTCATATTCTACGTGGACGTGAGAATTAAGCCTTCCAGCCAGAGCCTGAGCAAGCTAAAGAACCAAAGTTAGGTTTTAGGGAAGCTGGTCCATGTCAGTGACTTAAATTCCATATCTTTAAACAGACCTGGAGCCAAGTTATTTTCTATCCTTTTTTTTTTAAGTGCAAAATTATGTAGAAGATATTTGAAGAAATTTATAAAAGTTTTGAATGTGAAGACTTACTTATAGACCAAATAAAAAAAAACATCCAATTGAGGGACCCTGGTATTATTTAAATACCATTATGTGACACTAATTACTGTACTGTAATTCAAATGCACTACCTTCAGATAAGGTTGTGTATATATGGAACGGACTGTCCAAAGATATAATGGTTTACACATCTTGTGCCACTTCGGCTAATGTAAGGAAGAACAGGCTATACATTATATATAAATCAAAATCTTACCAGCTCTTCACAGTGTGCATGCTTTAACCGTTTAGCTATATCAAGTGGTGTTTCTCCAGCTTCATTTGCTATAAATCAATGAATGGAAAAGTTGGTTTGCAACTTTGTGTTACTAAAAATACAGTATAAGTAGCTTACAAAATGAAAATAACATTAGGAACAGTCTAGCCAAAGACAGACATATTAGTTGCTACATATTTTAACTTGCTTTCTTTAACATGGTGGCTCCATATATTTTGGGATGCACCTCTTACAGTATATCCCCTCGTCAGAGGTCATATTGGATGAAGATTAAGGGAACCAAACTATAAGACATATGCTGGGACATTGAGGGGTGGGGAGTTAATTTACCCATGGGACTAGTTCAGGTTTATTGCAGAGTGTCCACATTACAAAATATGATAATGAATTGAACATTTTTCTCACTTTATAGTCATATATTGCCATCTGATTCCTGTGACATTGGGTATGAGGCCACATAAAACTGTAATATTTTTATAACCATTGACTTAGCATTCAAATTTTCTATAAGTTTAGACATATGGCTCAATAATATATATTTATGTTTGTTCCCGTGTGTATGATTTAGAGTGTATTAGAAAGAGAACATAAACAGCAACAAATTTACCTCAGACCTTTATGTTCCTAACACCAAAGAGTACTCCTTTTTCTCTTTACCTATTTCAATTGAAGCCTTCCCTCTCAGAAGCAGTTTGAGGCACTCCACATTATCTGTTAAGCAGCAGTAATGCAGAGCTGTGCTGCCTTTACACGTCTGCTTGTCAAGATTGCCACTGCACAAGAGAAGAGAGAACAAACTTATTTGGCACAAATAGTATAGAAGGTTCTCCAAAGCTTGCTTGGTTTGAGTTATTTAGACAGTTGTTTCCATCAAACTTAACAAGTGTTTACTGAAAGGGTCCTTTCTTCATTTTTGAGTAATGAAACCGATATGCAAACAAGTGTTTAGTCATGAATGGCCCACCTGTTCTGTACCAAGAAGTCAACTATGTGAAGTGAAGTCCGATCTACCGATCGCACTGCAAGATGAAGGCCAGTTTCATCTTGTTCCTGAAAAAAAAAAAATGCCTTCTAACCAGTGCCAAGCAAAACATTTTTAAAAATAAGTTTTGAGTCTATGGTTTATTGTTGAACCATACAATTTTGGCCACTGTACTCAAATTTATTTTTCAGAATGATTTGAAAGCCAGATTTGAGTACAGTGGCCAAAATCAAGGAGATAATACAAAATTAGGAGGCATCCTCTGCTTAGTTTCCTTTGTGTTACCCTGGGTCTATTTTAGAGGATAAGCTGCTTGATCTCAGAAATTCTTATTTTGCTCTAATGCAGGGGTGTCAAACTGCTGGCCCACAGGCCGGATGCATCATGTCAAAACCGCACCCACCCCATTGCCGGCAATGGCGGAAAAAATCGCGATACGTCGCGACATGTCATGTGACGTTGCGAGTTTGACACCCCTGTTCTAAAGGATTTTATTAACAGATGTTGAAGGTCAGGTTTTCCACAATCATATTTTTTAAAAATGCCATCTCTGCTACCTAAATGTGATCAAGGCAGAGAACTAGCAAGGCTCAATTTATAAATTAAATGGTGGTGCTAGAAAGTAATGTTTGATTTGTAAGCTAAACAAAAAAGAGATTGTATATGAGAACCAGTTTGGTATAGTGGTGACAGTGTCTGCCTAGAATCTAGGAGATGGTGAGTTCTAGTCCTCCTTTAGGCATGAAAGCCAGCTGTGGGACTTTGGACCAGTTACTCTCTCTCAGCCCCGCTCACCTCATAGGGATAAAAATATAATAAGTGGACATAAGTTGAATTGGACAGTTTGGACTGAAAAACAAGAAAACTGATTAATCACTATGCATTACATAGTAATATACAGGATAAGATGCAAGATGCAAGGAAGGACCTTTAAACTGACTGATAGGGTAGTGGTACTAGGAAGAGTTGGGAGCCTCTGGTTGAGGATAATTAATTAACAAATTTAATGAATCATAATCCTAAACTATTAATATTCCAGATCATCTCAACATTTCAAGATCAGGGCAAACATTAGGGTGGCCAAGATTAGTTATGTTCAATCTAGAATACATTCTGCCCTTCAACATAGTTCTATCCCATTCTATAAATGGTCAGAACATTACTTCAAAGCCCAGGCAAAAATTACTATGAACTTTCATTCTCATTTCTCCCAAGACAGGATATACACATTTGTGTATCCATTTTTCCTGATATATAAAACAATGTTTGGAAATGTTTTCTATACAGGCTTATTCACAAAACTGCACTAATGGTTCTTAAAATGCTGAATGGTTCAGCATCCAAGAAAGCTGAAATTCAAATTCAAATGCAAACAACAAAATCCATGCCTAACCCAATGGAGTATACGCGATACCTATCCATTTGGAGAAGGATACAATATAATCTGTAACATTATTTACAATGTTTTATATTGTAATATTAAAAGCTACCAAATTAATATAGATGAGCTGAATTGTTTAAACAAAAACATGGGTATAATGGACACATAAGAATAGCGAGTGTTAATTGGTTATTACCATCTGAATAACTTAGCTTTATAGGAAAGGACAAAAAAGAATGTTTTGTGATGGTGTTGCTCAGCTGCAGCCATAGAAGACACAGAATCCAGAATAGTATTTAGCCAATTAATCTCCTTTCAGTGCAAGAATAAACAATAGAAATACATATCACTGTGCTATTATTCTCCTATATTAATCTGAGACTTGGTGTAGGGTTAAATGGTATTCTTTAACATATATTCAATCAACACAATATACATTTTACACACACACCCAAACTGAGTTCCTTAACTCCCTAGCAGTACCTACACTGTTTTCCTGCAGGCAGCATTGTGTGAGGATTCCCTATGTTTACTTATCAGAGACACGGTTACTGCAGATGGGAAGGGAAGGGAGGCTCAAAACAATAACTCGGGAAAGTGTCAACGTTGACGAGAAGGTGCCATAGAATCTACATCCACTCCATAAAGTTGGATCTTAAAAGTTATACCTGTCATGCTCATGGGGAGGGGGGGAGAAATATTTATGATTAGGTTTCAGTATGTGTTCAGTCCTCTCCTAAAGAAAATATTTCTATTATGAGGACCCAAATTGTTGGGGTCAATATGCTGACTTTGTAAACTGCTTAGAGAGGGCTGTAAAGCACTGTGAAGTGGTATATAAGGCAATGTGCTACTGTTAGTGCTAATTTTCATACTTCTGTTTAAAATCCTTAGTAACAAATGGAAGGACTGTTCTTTTATTCTTTTAAAAATTAACACAGAAAGAGTGGTAGTGAGTGAAATATATTTGCAAAATTAGAAACACCTAACAGAATAACAGAGTTGGAAGGGACCTTGGAGGTCTTCTAGTCCAACCCCCCACTCAAGCAGGAAACCCTATACCATTTCAGACAAATGGCTGTCCAGTCTCTTCTTAAAAATCTCCAGTGTTGGAGCACCCACAACCTCTGGAGGCAAGTCATTCCACTGATTAATTGTTCTAATTGTCAGGAAATTTCTCCTTAGTTCTAGGTTGGTCTTCTCCTTGATTAGTTTCCATCCATTATTTCTTTGCTTCTTCTGATCTAATTTCTAACAAATAGAGCATTGGTGTTCAAAACGTGATTAACAGAAGGTTTCTGTACATACATGACCATTTGCTAATGGAATTTTCTCCGTTAGGTCCACCCCGTCAGCATACACTTGAACAAGTCCAAAAATATCTCTTGCTCTGACGGCTTCACAAAGGTTTTGTAGCTTAGTCACATTGTCAGTGTATTTTTTCCTTGCATATTTTCTTTCAATATATTTGGCATTAATATAATCTTTTCTAGCATTCCTGAAATGAGATACGGCATACACTGTAAAATGGTGCACCATGAACAGCTGAAATACTTGTTCTGCAAAATATACGATATTCATAACTCTAATAAAAAATGCCTCATGTAAACATCATGGATTTTATCTGCAGCACTGTAATGACTTTTCCTCCTCTGACACATCTGTGAATGTGTTGTAGTTGTGAGCAGTGATTTATCCGTTGGAAAACAATGATCCAAATATGTGGCTAAAAATGCCTGCAAATGTTTTTCATTTCCCCAGCTATTTAAAACAACTGATAATCAATTCAACAGAAATGTTCCCTAATTATTCAAGGGAGATTTTTCTAGACTGAATTTAGGAAAAAAAAACATTGCTCTAATGCTCTTTTTTAGTTGAAGCCTGTTAAGTCTTGAAAGTTTAACAGTTTACTGTTAATATGAGATTAACTGAAAATCTGCTACAAATCCAGAATCGCCATGGTTGCACACTAGCAAGGGAATTCTGGGAGTTGAAATCCACATCTCTTGAAATTGCAAAGTTTGAACAACACTGCCCTAAAGCTTCCCATGTCCAAAATGTGCTATAGAAAGCTCCTTAACTCTCCTGAACTGATTTTGAATGTGGAAGGGATGCTGAAGTCATTACAAGAATAAGGGAAATTCTCTAAGCATATCATCCAATCCCAGTTGGTATGGGCAAAATCCAACAAAATTCTGCTTCTAAAATAGACTTTCTGTTCCCCGCCCACACATGCAATCTCCTGTGCGTGCTCAGACTTTGAAGACACTATACCTGCAAAGTGGAAAAGGAAATTCTGTCAGAAAAAAAAATGGACCAAAGTGATTTTAAGATTGCCAGGTGACCATTTATAGATTCCTAGAGGGGGGGAAAATCCCCCTCTCCTTGACACATCAGAATTTTTCAGCAATTAACAGAATCTTATTTCCAAATTAGTTTTCATAGTAGAGCTTAATTGCTATTTTAATATCTTGCATGCTGCCTTGGGGAAGAGGTTATTATTGGCTTTGGTTTATACCATTAACCAACAGTTATTACTAGCCGTGATAACAAGTATCACGTGACAATTAGTAGTAAATAATTATAGAAATTGCACAGGATTCAAGAACTTCACATGTTTCTTTTTAAAATAGTTTTGTGTGTTCAGATTGCAAATGGAGTTAGGCTTGAAAGCAGCTGGAGTAAGATCAGATGTCCCAATTCTTGGTTCATCTCTGTATGACTTAAAGACATTAACAGAACCTCTGAAAATGACCAATTTTCTCTTTTAGCTTTTCAGATCCAGAAGAGCCAAAAGAAACATCACTTTTAAGAGATTGCCCTTGAATCACTAAGTCAGAACTCATATTAACTTTCATTCACCCATTAAGCCACAACCAACACATGTATCACTCTGAACTTTCCATCTTTCATACTTACATATCGCTGCTTGGATTGGGTTTGACTAGTTCATCTGCTGGCAGACAAAATTCCATAATCTCATTAAATCCTGCATTCCCGATATTCTTAGCAAGCTATTAAGAAAAATGTCAACAAATCGTGTGAATGAACCCAGTGGCTACTTAAACCCAATACCTTCGATTTGAGGCATCAAAAAACCTGAACATTTAAATTTTCCAGTTATAAATTTTACTTTACAAGTAGTGTTTCTTTAACATTTCAATCAAACAAGCTAAATTAAACAAAAGCCCAATATTACCTTCTCCAGGTTTATTTGAAAATAGCATTGCTATACAGCGGAATTTCAGTTTTCTAAATCTCAATAAAATGACCTTTATACACAATGGACCAAGTTCATTTGCAATTTACATCATTTGCGTAATAATATCATCACAAAACTGAGTGATACCCACAAATATAATCTGTATTACTGCAAAGAGGAAAGTCCACTTTCCTGTACCAGACTTTTGTGAGGTATAGACATTCTCTTTCTCCAATTATTTGTTAAAAAGGCATTTTTAAGAAAATGTGTTTATTTTAATGTAATGCAGATGTTTTAAGGTGACATGTAATTATATGGCTTAAATCCCAAAGCTGAAGGGGTTTGCAATATATGTGTAAATGGATTTTCTCTTCTTCCCAGTTCTTCCAGCCTTCTATAGCTACATAGTAGAAATTCAGTGGATTTATAGTAGGAAAAACCACTTTAGTATGTTTTCCTCTCTGATAGAAGCTTGCTATGGGATGAAGCCTACAAAAATAGAAGACACTTATGCTGACTTTCACAGGGGTTTTGTTTTTTAATAGAAATATTTTTAATTTACCAGCAATTCAGATGTACCCAGCACATCTAATGTAAGTGACTGCATTCTGGAATAGTGAACACCAAGTTCTCGGTGTATTCCTGAACATTCAATGCAAGTCAAAATGCCCAAATTTGTTGAGAGCCATGTTGGATCTAGAAGAGAAAAAGGTATTAACAGCAATCACTCCGCCATTGGACGGGGTACTGAAACCATCTGTTCAAGAGACTTCTAACTCAGTTCTACTGGTAGCAATTAGACTGTTTTATTCATAGAAATGAAAATACTGTAAGGGCTATTTCATCATGAAGTACTTGGATTTATATATAAACACAAAGAAGCTAAATAACAAGGGCCTATTCATAATTAGTTTTCCTGGCTGATGCTACTTTTCTGACAATATTATAATTAATAGCTTTCCTTTATAACAGGGACTATCAAACCTGTTTCCCCCCCCCCCACTGCCTGATTCTCAAACTTAATTTTAATTAAACTGCCCAAAAGATTATATAATTTTTCCTAAGTATCCCTTTGTTTCCCTAAAACATCCTTGTTTGCCCTTGTCTTGTGAGTTCTCGGAAAACTATTTCATCCTACAGTATTTGTTTGTTTACTAAAGTCCTTGAGCTGCATGCTGGGGATCCAGGCATTGTTTTCACTGCTGCTTCCTGCTTAGACGGAAGAAGGGAAAAGACAGTAATTTTATGAGATTTTAAAGTCACCTTGTGCTCCACAGTCACAACACATGTCATTTCCAGGCATTCTTTGCACATCAGATATTATTTCTTTTGTCAGTTCTTGGACAATGTTGTTTTCTCCTGTGTTATCATCACCTTTGAAGGCATTGTTTAAAGCTTCTTCTTTACTATTCTGCAGTACAGATATCCAACTTGAAAAATAAAAATATATATTATGGCGTGACATGGAACTGACAGTTTGCTACTATCCTCACAGAATGAAATGTAAATAAAGACAGAAGTTTTCAAAGGTTGAGGCTAGGCTACCAATAAAATAACAGAGAATAGATAAATTGCTTTCAAGCCATTTTTGTAGGGACGGATTAGAAATCACATGAAAAGAAACTGAGAAATAGGAAATATGTTATAAAACCTGGAAATATCTCTGAAATGAGATCATAAGCACAGTTTCAGTTTCAGTTAGTGACAGCTTCATTTAATGAACGAGATACAGGTCGCGAAATGAGGACTACCTATAATATTAATGCAACTTACATTTGACAGTCCTGTTCATCCTCTCCTTGGAAATGATACGTTCTGTCATCTATAAAATAATAAAATTTATCATTGTTCTATCTACTTATTTGTACAAATAAATATGTATGTTACTTATTCAAATTACATATTTTAATGAACACTTAATTGACTCACTTATTAAAAACTGATCTCATAATTGGTATTTAAATCACTGCCCTGTGATATATTAAACAGGATTAAAATTAATAAGAACCTTCAAGTATAGGATTAAGCAATCGGGAGGCAATTTGTTCTGCTACCATTTCATATATAAAAGCAAGTATTTTTTCTTTTTAATCTCGCTCAGTCAGCACTAGCTAGAATAAACAGAGATTAGTACACATTTTACAAGCCATTCTCAATAACATGTTGATTATTTTTCCATCCTGTTTCCCATATATCTGGAATATGAGTATTTTGGGCCCAAGAAGAAGCGCTCCCGTAACAATACAAGTAGTCCTCGACTTACAACAGTTCAAAGTTACAACCACACTGAAAAAAGCGACTTATGATCATTTTTCACAGTTACAACCTTTGCAGCATCCCCATGATCATGTGATCAAAATTCAGATGCTTGGGAACTGGTTCATACTTACGACCGTTGCAGTGTCCCAGGGTCACGAGATCCCCTTTTGCGACCTTCCGACAAGCAAAGTCAGTGGGGAAGCCAGAATCACTTAACAACCGGGTTACTAACTTATCAACCACAGTGATTCACTTAACAACAGTGGCCAAAAAGGTCGTGAAATGGGGCATAACTCACTTAACAAATGTCTCACTTAACAACAGAAATCCTGGGCTCAATTGTGGTCGTAAGTCGAGGACTACTTGTAGTTATTTGTAATAACTGTCTTGCCAGGCATTACTGTGGTTTTCTTACCTAAATGGATATTTGTTTAGATCAGTTATACTGTGCTTTCTTTTCATAAAAGTTCCTTCTAACTCACTTGAAACATTTTTTTTAAATCCATTTTTACTATCAACCTTGACTGCGAGTGGATGGTAGTCCCCAGTCTTGCAACTAAAGTAATAACAAACGTCCAGCAAATTAAACATTCAATTCCTCTTCAGAAATTCCAACATATGAACCTCCCAGTTCCATATCAAGCATCTGGGTTAAATAAGTGGAGAACACCATAAAAACAACACTGTTTGCAGTATCTATCCTCCACACAAACAAACATCATATGGGTAATGCCTTCCAAAAGGAAACTGTGCATCTTTTAATCCCTTATTTTTTTATAAACAATGCAAGGGGGGGGGAGGAGAACATAATACTACTTCTCCTATTTTCCCCACAACTGCTACCTTTGAGGTGAGCTGGGCTGAGAACAACACATCAAAGTCACTCAGCTGACTTTCATGCCTAAGGTAGGATTAGAACTCCTGGTTTCTAGCCTGTTGCCTTAACCACTAGACCAGGGGTAGGCAACCTTGGCTCTTTTATGACTCGTGGACTTCAACTCCCAGAATTCCTGAGTCAGCATAGCATAGCTGACTCAGGAATTCTGGGAGTTGAAGTCCACGAGTCATAAAAGAGCCAAGGTTGCCTACCCCTGCACTAGACCAAGCTGGCTCTCCTAGGCCTTGAAGGAAGATCCTCAAGAAGCTGCCATTGGACCCAATGATCTTGGACAATTTTTGTCTAATCTCCAACCTTCCCATTTTAGGAAGGTTGTTGAGAAAGTGGCTGGGCTTTAGCAAAAGAGGATCCTGGGTGAATAATAATGCTCTACAGTAAGGCTAGAATGTAGATAAGATGTCTATCTTTGTGTGCTCCTTGATTTCTCAGCAGTTTTCAATACCACTTATTGTTGTACCAGCTTTGACACTTGGGAGGGGGAGACGCTGTGCTGCAGTGGTTCTCTCTTCTTTGTGACTGACTCCAGTCAACATTATCAGAGGGGGAGACAGCGAGTCCATGGACTCTCACATGCAGGATGCTACAAGGTTTTATATTCTCACCCCTTTTGCTCAACACCTCCACGCAACTTCTGAATGAAGTCATTAGTTCAAAGTTAAGTATCATCAGTATGCTGATGATATGCTAATTCCATAGTAGATATAAAAAAAAATCTACATGCCCCTGTTAAAATGCCAGGTTTCTGAGATACAAAAAAAAAATCAGACCAAGCTAAATCTCTTCAGGATTTTTTTTTTCACCTTTAATATAACATAATATAAGGTGTACAATTCAATTGAAAAACAAACTGAAATATTTTAGGGAGCAACTGTACATCTTAGACCCACCTAATGCTGTCAAGGTTCTGTGCCAGGAGCTGGAGACTAGGTCTGGCACGGGAAGAACTGACTCCAGCTCAACCCTAAAAAGACTGCATTGGGTCTAGGGATCTTCTACCTTTGGGTCTTGGATGGGGTCACGCTTCCCAATTTGAGACTGGTGTGCACAATGAGGGTAGTGTTGCAGAGTGCATTATAGGAATCTGTTTGTGAGATGACTACGGCATGAATGATGAATGGACCTCCTGGCCCAGGATGGGAAATACAGTAGAGGCACCTCTGTTTGAAGAGCAGGTGGTAGCTTTGGGCAAAAGGGCCTTTGCAGACGTGCCTATACTGTATTCCCCTTCCTGGACCAGGAGGTCCTCCCATCATTCATGCCTTAGTCATCTCACAAACAGATTCCTATAATGCACTCTGCTCTTGATAACCACTTGGTAGGGATGAAAAAAAGATTTCTTGCAAAAGCAAAATAAGGTGACTGAACAGCAAGGGAAAGTTTCTCAAGCACTAAATAACAGAATGAGTTAACGGGGCCAACATATATCTTACTTTTATTATCACATTTACGAACTATCTTAAAGATAAGTTCATATAAATCTTCCATCCATCCCCACTCCGAAAAAAAGAGCAGGTGACAGGAGAAGNTAAAAGAGCCAAGGTTGCCTACCCCTGCACTAGACCAAGCTGGCTCTCCTAGGCCTTGAAGGAGGATCCTCAAGAAGCTGCCATTGGACCCAATGATCTTGGACAATTTTTGTCTAATCTCCAACCTTCCCATTTTAGGAAGGTTGTTGAGAAAGTGGCTGGGCTTTAGCAAAAGAGGATCCTGGGTGAATAATAATGCCCTACAGTAAGGCTAGAATGTAGATAAGATGTCTATCTTTGTGTGCTCCTTGATTTCTCAGCAGTTTTTAATACCACTTATTATTGTACCAGCTTTGACACTTGGGAGGGGGAGACACTGTGCTGCAGTGGTTCTCTCTTCTTTGTGACTGACTTCAGTCAATGTTATCAGAGGGGGAGACAGCGAGTCCATGGACTCTCACATGCAGGATGCTACAAGGTTTTATATCCTCACCCCTTTTGCTCAACACCTCCACGCAACTTCTGAATGAAGTCATTAGTTCAAAGTTAAGTATCATCAGTATGCTGATGATATGCTAATTCCACAGTAGATATAAAAAAATCTACATGCCCCTGTTAAAATGCCAGGTTTCTGAGATACAAAAAAAAATCAGACCAAGCTAAATCTCTTCAGGATTTTTTTTCCACCTTTAATATAACATAATATAAGGTGTACAATTCAATTGAAAAACAAACTGAAATATTTTAGGGAGCAACTGTACATCTTAGACCCACCTAATGCTGTCAAGGTTCTGTGCCAGGAGCTGGAGACTAGGTCTGGCTGGGGAAGAACTGACTCCAGCTCAACCCTAAAAAGACTGCATTGGGTCTAGGGATCTTCTACCTTTGGGTCTTGGATGGGGTCACGCTTCCCAATTTGAGACTGGTGTGCACAATGAGGGTAGTGTTGCAGAGTGCATTATAGGAATCTGTTTGTGAGATGACTACGGCATGAATGATGAATGGACCTCCTGGCCCAGGATGGGAAATACAGTAGAGGCACCTCTGTTTGAAGAGCAGGTGGTAGCTTTGGGCAAAAGGGCCTTTGCAGACGTGCCTCTACTGTATTCCCCTTCCTGGACCAGGAGGTCCTCCCATCATTCATGCCTTAGTCATCTCACAAACAGATTCCTATAATGCACTCTGCTCTTGATAACCACTTGGTAGGGATGAAGAAAAAGATTTCTTGCAAAAGCAAAATAAGGTGACTGAACAGCAAGGGAAAGTTTCTCAAGCACTAAATAACAGAATGAGTTAACGGGGCCAACATATATCTTACTTTTATTATCACATTTACGAACTATCTTAAAGATAAGTTCATATAAATCTTCCATCCATCCCCACTCCGAAAAAAAGAGCAGGTGACAGGAGAAGAAGGGACATGTAAATATCAGCAAGTAACGAAGGATCAGAATGTTTGCAGCCAGTGAGGGAAATTTCAGGAATCAACAGAAACAGGTTGGGATGGAAGGGAATAATGAATAAGATAAATATTTTAGCTCATTAAGGGAATAAAGGGTTTAAATTGATACAGGCAGTCAATGATTTATAACCAGTTGCTTAGCGACTGTTTTAAGTTACGACAGACCCACCCAAAAGTACTTACTGAAGTTCTGACATTGCCCCCACCCTCCAGTCATATGATTGCATTTTGGGTGCTTGGCAACTGGTCCACATTTACTGTCATTTGCACTGCCCCATGGTCACGTGACTGCAATTTTCAGTGGTTTCTGGTAAAAAATGCACACAGCGAACAATGGGTTCCATTAACAACTGCGGCATTCCTCAACAATCCCATGAAAAAGGTTGTAAAATCAGATCCAGCAATATGGTGAATCATTTTACAACCATCACAATTTACAACTGTAATTGCCAGGCTCAATTACCATCATAACTCGAGGACTATCTGTATTTTTTTTAAAAAAAAAAAAAAAGTTTCAGAACATGTAATGGTTAAGTACATAGTACTATTAGCACTCCTAAACAAATTATGTCTTTTCTGAGGAGCAGGCAGTTTTGGGGAAAGATACAGCTCCTTTGGCTTCCAGATAGGTGCTAGGTTTATACCCCCACATGCCCAAAAGCACTGCACAACTTTCATAATGAACATCTGTAATGAAGTTATAATGAATGTGGAAAAAGATGTTAGGCATAATCAAAAAAAGGGGGAGGGACATAGTTCCAATTCCAAAAGTAAACTCTTGATTTTCAGTTAATAAGATTCAGATGGGTAAGAAAATAAATTATGGCTAAAACCTTTTTTATGCACATTCATTGGAAGCAGACTGACTGCAAGGGCTTTACGTTTAACAATGCAATAAACAAAAACACTCAAGCAATAATCCTAAACAGCTGTAGGACCCACCCTGTTGACTAAATATTTCAGTGCAGAAAAAACAATATTAAAAAGAAAGAAAAGACAGTTACAGTCGTTCTCTTTACCTATCACGAAGCAGAATATAGCGAAAGAATAAAGCAATATATGAAGAAAAGATCACAGGATTGGAAGGATTACAGGAGTTATCTAATCCAACTCCCAGCGATGCAAAATCCACTACACAATTTTCAGTGACCATCCACCCTTTGTTTGAAGACCTTTAGCAAAGGCAAAACCACCACATCATGTGGCAGCATGTTCCACTGGATAACAGATCGAACAATTGGGAAGCTACTTCAGATGTCTAACCTGGAACTGCTTCCTTGGAGCTTTAGCCTATTGATTACATCCAATTCTGGACGCTAATTTCCTACGGCTAACCAACTAGACGTGGATAAACAATGTCAAATCTAGCTTCATTTGGGGAGCAACGAACAGCAACCAGAGTAAAAACATAAAAATACAGAAGCTGATGGAGTTGGCAGAGATGGCTAAATTAAACTGTTTTGATTAAAGAAACAAATATAAATACTTTTGTTTCTATATGGAGACCGCTTCTGGATTTTGTGCTTGAGGTGGGAAAAAAACGAAACTTTGATTTTGGGTTTTATTGATTAGATTGATTTGTTGTTATAGAAATGGCCAGTTTCTACTATTATGGAAAAGTAAAAAGTTGAGGTTCGATGTTAATGCTTCATTCTACTGCAACAGAGGAAGTCGAAGTCAATGCCTTTTCTTTTCTTTTTCCCTTCTCCCCCTCACTTTTCTTTCCCTTTTCCCTCCCCACTGTGTCCTACTCTTTGCTTTTGTATTTTTATATGTTATTCTATAATCTAATAAAATGTACAAACAGCAGAGTAAAAACACAAAAAAGAAACTAAGGCAAAACCTTTTGTTAAATGTGGTTCTTCTTGTTCTTATTATTGGGGAACTATGGAACAATTAAACAGCAGTTATAAAAAAAGAATATATAAAGAAAATCAATTCTAACTCATCGAAAGAATCTATATGCTCATAGTTTAAGTAGACAAAAATATGTTCTTCAAAAATGAATAAAATAGGTCAGGGATGGCGGACCTTTTAGAGACGGCCCCACCTGCCCCCGCTTCACCCCGTCCCAACCTACCCCAGCCCCGCCCGTCCACATGGCCACCCACTGCCTCCACAGATTGCCCAGGCGGCCCAGCAGCGCCATGGTGGTCATGCCCTCCATCCGTGCCCCACAGCATCATCTGCGCATGACAGGGCACGAGGGCGGAGTCTTGTCCCCGCTGCCCAGCTGCCATGTCCTTGGCTGCGCTACTCCGCGTGGGCTGTGCTCAGGGGCGACTCTCCTCTGAGGGGGGGCTGCTGGTGAGGAGGGGGCCACGGGGGGAGGTGGGGCTGGGGCGACGGCGCAAGTGCCCACAGAGAGAGCTCTGAGTGCCGCCTCTGGCACTCGTGCCATAGGTTCGCCACCACTGAAATAGGTCTTTCTCAACAAAATGATTCCATAATGTTTCTGATGTCCAAATTATATCTGCAGACTATTTACTGAATATCCACTTTGAGTGACCAAATAACTGTTTCTTTTCTGGCCAAAAAATATACCATCTAAAAGCACAGCATCAGCAGAGATAAAGCAGCACTAAATCAATCAAAATACAGATGAAAACTGCAAATAAGCACTGTTATGGATATGTGCCAGGATTTCATTGCCCATTTTTCTGTTTCCCTGTTCATCTCTCACAAGCAAATTTTATCTTTTCCTCCAAAGAAAATTTCAATAATAATTTAATTTCATATCTCAGTGTATCCTGGCAACAACCATTGTTTCCAAACTTATAATGAGGTCTTGAATTGGGCTTAGATTTGAACTATCCTTAATTATGGCTGTGTTATATTGAGACCATTCCAATTATGAATAAGCAAATAGTGAAGCAAAGATTCATGCACATAAAAGGAGAAGAATAAAAGAAAAGAATCAGCACATCTGTGACATGTACCTAGTCTTCAAAGTAATCTACATAGGTTCATGAACAAACCAACATCAACAAAGTATTCAGTAATTCAGAATTTCTTATAAGGGTTTTTAAAGTGTGTGATCATTATTTTCTTTTTTCTTTGAAAAATGTATTTTACTTTTCAATAACTAATCAAATTTTAACCCCCAAAAAAGTGTGTGGTCTATCAAGCAGCTTTAAAATATAATGAAGGTGATACCTAAAAAGCTTCAACGGAACAAAAAAATTCATTAATGCTAACCCCAAACTGTATTTTAATTCTAAAAAAACCTGAGGATTGTTATGAATACAATCGTGTGCGTGAATGTATATAGACAAAAATGTTGTTTAAATGTAATTATTTATAGCATCTTATTTTCACAAATCAGTAAAATCCAATGAACCATCAGAAAAATACCCTGTATGATCTCATCTCATTAATACCTTGCATAATGCATAATAGGGTGTCTGGGATACTGTTATTGTAGTATGTGGAACTATACAGTTACTAACAAAATATATTGGCTATTTACTGTGAAATTCAAAATAGACTCTCTTCTTCTTATGTCTTCTTACTTTTGACCACATTTTGCCTCTCTATTTCTGTGGTTTGCCCATTTGGTTCCCCACTGCTGCTCTTTGCTGCTAGGTAAAACATCCCCTTAAGCTGTAATGACCTTTCCATTTCCTTTACAAAAGTTGTGCTACACGGACAGATGACTCTTCTTCCACAGTAACCATGCTTACAACTGTTTTGTGATAAACAAGCAGCAAGAAATAGGCCGCTGATGATGAGAGCAAATGTTTACCCTCTGAAATCTGTTAATATGCTCTGTCATTTCCTGGTACAAAAGGAGAAATCCTATTCCCAAGGAAAAGCTACAATGGCAGTTATATATAATTTTATCATTTGCCTTTCAAATGTTAAAAATCTGCATTACGCTGCATGATGATTGAGATTTAATTCTGTAGCAACATCAGGAAAGCACAGTTGAAACCAATTTGAAAAAAGGTATAAAGTTGCACCTCACAGTTAGCGTAGCAATGATAACAGATAAAAGCAACAGACAGCTTCATTGACACACATATACAATTATATATGAAAAGACAAATGTTTATAGACAGCAAGCTGCAGGAAATATCTTCTAACTATATTTGGACCGAACATCGGAATCTCCCATTAATTCCTTTTCTGAGACAATATGGAAGTAAGTAGAACTAACTAAAATAAGAGTACCTACAAAACTGAACAACAAACCTACGTGATATGAGGTCAAAACATTTTTTCTCTTCTGGATTTGTTTTCACTTGGCAAGTTAACAGATTGAGCTTTGCAGGAGGTCGGTTTGCCTAATTAAAGAAAAAACAAAACAAAAAGGAAATCCCTTAGTAAAAGCATATAAAGAATAAAGACATTTTCTGTTACCATTGATTCTGAAAGGAAAAACCCTCCTGCAGTTAAGCCCATCAAAGTTGTGCTTGCAGAAATTAATGAAATATACAGATAGCCAGTGTTTTTGAATAATCTATCGTAAATTGAATTACTGTTTTTAGGATGAGTTTGGATCAACTTAAAATTTTACATTTTTTGGTGTGATTAAAAAAATAATCTTTCTACTCAAGTATTTTTCAAACGTAGCAAATTATTCTTCTAAGCAACTCATACCGATGTGATTTATATTTTTATGATAAAAAATGGGCAACTAATTACTTATGGGCAGTTTTCCTGCTGTAAAACCTGACTAATGGAATTTAACTTACTGTACAGAGGAAACATCTGGTTTGTATCTGGTAATAAAATTAATGGTAATCTGATAATAAAATTAATGGTGACCAATTAAAATAAAACATACTTTTATAAGAGACCTAATAGGACTGAAAAGAAATGCAAGACTTCCTTATGTTTAAATACCACACATTACAATTAACATTTAGTTCTTATATTAATAATAGCAGATCAACAGAATTCAAGACGAATTACTTTGGTAACTGACAGAACAAAATTACATATAAAGCTTAACCATTAAAACAAGACAGAGCAGTTACATAATATGCACAGCAAGAAAAAAATCCTGTTTTTATGGCAACCATAGACCTCAAGCAGACATTAGTGGCATTCATAATCAAAGATAAAGTATATTCTATTATTTAGAATATAGTTGTTATTGACGGGAAAAATGGGACAAAAATTATCTGGATGTATTATTTTCTCCTCCTGCTATATAAAGACCTCTTTGCATGCTACTGCAGGTAGGGGAGTGAATTTAGTTCCAATCTCTGCTCTAAAAAATGAATAGAAACCAGAAATCAAGTTGAAATGTGGCAACAGGAGACAAAACAGAACCAAGAAATACGATTTATTTATTTTAAAAGCCGATGAAGCAATTTTAGCATTGGTCAGTTTCCAGGGTTTTAAATTATGGGTATGATCTGAAGGGTCGTATTAAAACTGCAATCAATGGGCTTAGTGCTTTACAAACCTATTTCTAAATCAATGCAATGTTATGTTGGCACAGCAAACGGAAAAATAAGTGGACATTAAAAAAAAACCACAACCTTTTTTTTTGCATAGCTTTTGTTCCCTTTTTTTCTTCTTGAGAACACAATAACCCCCTTTCGGTCCCTTACTGCATAAGCCTATGTTTCCTGGAAATGATGTTCTAATCAGAAAACATCATTGACCTTAATCTTTAAAAAGATGGGATTTTTTTTTAATTGATGTAAAGAAGAAAAATAACCAGACCTATTTGTTTCCAAATTAGAAATGTTAGGAATGCATGTCACAGCTAGTAGAAACTTTATCCATTCCTTTTTCATTCTGAAAGGGAACATACCTTACTAGGAAATATATCAAAATACTCCCACTCATATTTAGTCAGATATCTATCTCTACAAGCAAACACAGCTGTTACTAGCTAACTTGGCATTTACTGAACAAACCAAAAATGGCTTGGGTTTGCACAATATGATCTGCCATAAAACACACCTACACCTCACTGGCTGTATTTTGTAGTATGCCAAGCCAGGTGAGCAGAGTATGGACTGCATGCATCCTCAAGGGTCATCACTGATGACACAAATTGCCCCTCACCTCTCACAACATACACTTCCCCTGCATCCACACCGTGCTTTCCCTGGGATTACAGTTTTTTCTGCTGCCTTTAATCTTTTTTTCCTACATTCCTACCAATCTTTTCTACCTGCTCCTTGCCTCCCCATCAGTTTTCCTGTCTGTGATGCCTCTCTGAATTTAGCCTTTTCTCTGCTTTCTCATTTGACTTTTCTGATGTTTCATTCTTCCAAATAGTGTCTTTCTACTTTTCCTCTCTAATCTCAATTTCCTTACTGTCTTCAATCTGTTCTATCAGCATCTCTCCCCCCCTCCAGTTTTTCTGCTTTTTCATTATCCTCACCACTATTTTCTTTCCCTCTGTCTCTCCCTAACCCTAACCCTTCCCTATCCAGTCTCTACTTTCTCCTTCTTCTTCTCTTTCCTTTGGTATCTACTGGAATACTTTTGCTGAGATAAATATAGAGGATCTTTTGGGGCCTAAGAAAAGTCACATTCGTCATAAAATAAAGATTTTATATCAGCTCACTTTGGATTCTGGATCCTTTCGAGTATGGCAGCCGTTAAAAACGATAGAAGCTGCCATCTCTCTTCGAGCTGAAATCTAATAAAATCATATCATGGCTTTGCATGATGTAGGAACTCACGGATAATGAGCATCTATCCTTTCCCCTGTAAAAGCAATTGGCCTGAATGTTGAAGTGAGTTTTATTCCAAATATGTCAGGTTAATTAATTCAAAATAGAAGCTGTTCCAGATGAGGAAGGGCCTATTCAGAAAATGTGTTTGAGGGCAGATTGAAAGCGACGGAGTGGATGGGTGAAATGAGATTAACGGGGCAGAAATGCTACCCTGCCCTATTTCCCCTCGTTCCAATCCAGCTGCTCCAAAACAACAACACAAAATCAGAGGAAGAAAAAAGAAGCCCTTTCTCCGAAAGAGAACATAACAATGGAAGGCACCAGGATCACTGAAAACCAAATATAAAAAATCAGAAAGAAAGGATATTGCACCAGATTGGTCCTTATGATCTAAACTTGAAGAACCCAAGGTCTAATTTGATCTAAGCCTCAGCCTCAGAACATCCACAGAAATAATAAACAGAGGAGCTCCCCACACAGAATATACTCATTGGAGTAAGATTAGAGTAGCTACAGCTGCACTGATATTAAAGCAAAACATACAAGTTATAACACAGCAGAGTATCTTTGGCACTACTCTATGTAAAATAATTGCTGCAAGTGCTTGGAAAGAGTGTTCGGTTGTAACTTGGTTCCTTAAAAGCACAAACCAGCTTTTAAAACTACTTCTTTGCTACATCTGACTAAGGCATGGTGTATTGTGAATATAATTTGGTGAATAAGGCACAATAGCTATTTACATATTATGTAAGAGTTCAAGCACTCTACCCAACATTGTTTAAAAGAGGTAAAAAGGGTGTTTCAAACATGTTAGATTTAAGGCATCCATTTTTGCTCTCCTAACCACCTTAATATACCGAAAGAAAGCCCATATTCTTGGCCACACCCACTCTGATGGCATACATTCCTCTGATAACAATTTTGCACATTTGCATACAAATTGAACCATTGTTTAGAAGCCACAGGGACCAGTTTAGGGCATGGGTAGAATCAGCCAGTATGAAAGAAAAGAATTCTCAACTGTAATTTCTTCTTTCTGTAAATTACTATTGCAAGATACTAGTAAAAAAATAAGGCATTTTAAAACTTCTAATACCCAGAGTAAAAGAAGGTGGGGAATTAAATTATAAAGTCAAGTATCAATTGATCATGTTGATTTGACTGATACCTATCCAAAAAGGAAAAGGAGTTATGACGAGTTATTGGAGAAAGAAAGCAGCAGCAGTATTGAAAACTGGAAATTGAATAGATATTTTTAATATTTCAGTTGATTTTAAAATGAATTGCAAATATAAAATTGATTGAATCATTCCCCACAAAATACATTATTATTATAAAATAATCATTTCATTATTTTAATTACTGTAATTAAAAGGGTACCTAAATGAGATCAGACACTTTCATGCTGACAAAATTAAGAAATATGACTGATACAGTTTTAATAACTAGTCTCCAAAAGATTCAGCCATAATTTTAACTTTCTTGGAGAATCAGTGATATAATCTATGGACAGAAAGTAAAGTACAGTAAGGTACTTTTCTTTACAAATTGAATGTTAAATATAATTAAATCTAAGAAAGCAAAACATACCCTACAATCATGTTATTACAGAAAAATATTCCAATTGAAACAGGAATCCTTTGAAACACAGATCTACTACACAGAAGCTGTGTAGGGCTATAATCCATATCATTTTATCTGGAAGCAAGACCCACTGCATTTAAAAAAAATTGCATTCTCATGAGATGCATATAGGAATGCTATGAATGATAAAAACTAGTTTAGTGTAGCAGCTTGGAAGAAAACAGAGGTTCACTTTTCAGATACATTTCCAAATAAGGGCTTACAGGTGTAGAAAGGAAGTACAGTGTTGTGTGCTTTTGCCTGGGACTGTCTTTCTAATTTTCTATTTAGCGCTATCTCTAATGCGGCTGTTCTGTCCATTTGAGCAATTTATGGCATTCTCCTCCAAAGCAGATGATTCTTAATTAAAGATTTCCTCCATGTCTTTGGCAATAGCAGAGAAGTGGTTGGCTGCTGACTTTTTCCAGGAGGTTTTTCAACTACTAAATCCAGTCCTCCTTAGCTTTTGGGGGATCAGCCAGGTGCTAGTACAGTACTTGCTGTGACACCTTAATTATAGTTTGACAATCTAATCCAGGGGTGTCAAACTCAATTTCATTGAGGGCTGCATCAGCATTGCGGTTGCCCTCGGGGGGCCGGGTGGGTGCGGCCTACTGAGTGGGTGTGGATGGAGTAGGTGTGGCCTACTGGGTGGGCGTGGCCAGCTCTACATCATTCACGTCAAGGGTGCCGGTGGGGGCCTGGGCAGGAGTGGGACAGATCTGAGGGTCTCTGGCAGAAAGGGGTGGGATCAGGGCAGAGCCCATCAAGCCGGATATGTGAAGTAGGCAAGGGCCATTTGCTGGCCACTTCCAGGCGATGGTGTATTTCTTCATTCCTCATAAAGGGTGACACCTCCCCAGCGTGCACCCAGGGGGCGGGACCAATGTGGCAGGGGCTGGTTCCTCGCTGTTTCCAGACGGCCTTGTGGAGCTAAGACTGAATGCATTTCAGCATAGATGGCCACCATAAAATTGTACATTGGCTCCCGGCCGGCCTGGGCCAGGGCCAAGGCAGCGGGGGCCGTTCCCTTACTGTTTCCAGGATGGCTTTGCAGGCCACATGAAACCACTTCGCGGGCCGCATCTGGCCCCCGGGCCTTGTGTTTGACATGTCTGATCTAATCTGTTATGCTACACACCAAACAGGATGAGGAGGGAGAAGCCAAACATGAAAAAAGAGGTGAATGTTCAAATTTCCATATGTTCATAATCCTTCAAAAATGAATTACCTCAGTAATACACATGAACGGAAAAGAAAGCTATTTGAAAAGAAAATGATCAAACGGGTTTACTATTCCTCTAATTTTGAAAACTAAGAAGGAACATGCAGCACAAAGTGAAATGCTATTTCATTACAGTACAGGGAGTCCTTGGTTGACAACGGAACAGAATTTCTATCATTAAAAGGGATATGGTCATCAAGAGTAACACCATGTGATCCCTTCAGTTCATGACAGCAATCCTGACAGTCCCTGTTGCCATCCTTAAGCAAGGCTCATGGGTCATTAAGCAAGAGCCTCCTCGTGACTTTCTGCCGGCTTCCAATAAGTCAAGTCAGTGGGGAAGCAGGCTGGATGTTACAAGCCCCAGATAGCTTGCAAACAGGCCGGCAGGCAAGTAAGTGGCTGCCAGGTGGGAAAAAAGCATGTGATGGTGTATAAGTGGCTAGTGCAGTGGTTCTCAACCTGTGGGTCGGGACCCCATTTGGGGTCGATCGACCATTTCACGGGGGTCACCAAGCAAGGCTGTCCGCCATTTTTTTTGTCCATTTTTTCCCCTTTTCCGGCGGGTGCCTTACCTCCCTTGGGCTGGGCCAGCTGGTGGTCGGCCTCCTCCGTCTCTGCCACTTGCCAGCTATGCCTTGGCCGGCGCAGGGGGCGGAACCACACATGTGCGGCGCTCCCGGACAGGGAAAGTCCTCGACTTACGACCGGTTTAGTCCTCGACTTACGACCGGTTTAGTCCTCGACTTACGATTGGTTGGGGTCGCGACATTAAAAAGGTTGAGAACCACTGGGCTAGTGTGAGGAGAGACTCACACAGAGAGACTTAGAGTGGCTGAAGCCAACGGGGGGGGGGGGGAGAACCTGAGAGGTTGCATGAGGCGTCACTGCAACACAGCACAGCACAAGTGCATCAAGGCTTGGGGCAGTTGTTCTCAATTGTATTATTACTATTCATTTTAATCAATTGTAAGTTCTCCTTAGATAATTTTATTTAAATTATTTTTTTACAATTATAAAGTGTACTATATATTCTATTATTGGGTGCATGCAGTAGCCTTACTATTACGAATTCATTCCTTTTTTATAAAATGAGCATAGAATGTCTCGCACATATGCACACATTGTGAAAATGTTTGCTATCAGGGGAGGCCCTTTGCATAGATGTTGATTTCCCCACAAGGTTAAACCTTGCAAAATCATTGTAGAACCAAATCTGCAAAAAGTTACACATATAAAGAATTCAGTGCAGATGTTCACAGCAAATGCATAGCTGGGCCTTCTAAAATGACATCATTACTGCTTGTATGAATTCAACACTTTTTGCAAAACTACTATTATCAGTTCTTCTAATATGTTTCTGAGGAAGAAGAAATTGGAACAGAAATATGCTACTTTGAATGAAACCTTATCAATATAGTTTATCATAACATTGCATTTCTGTTTGTATACAATCTGTATTCGCAATCAACAGTTCAGTTATTTATGTCTTATATTAGGCAAAGTAACTGTCAGCATACCGTAATAACAAATAGACTTTGCTTTCAGAAACCTCTGATCATGATCTCCTTAGCATCATAACAGGTGTACAGAAAGAACTAAGCATACCTTTTTTTTTTTTTTACAATTGTTAAATAAGTAAATACAAACTCCCAAATGAAAAAGTCCATCAGCTATGAAATCAGATATTGGGGAATTATATATTTTTTCTAACAATGCTATTCAGTCGATTGCCTTTCTGGAAATAAAGGAACCAGGACCTAAATAAATAGCTCTTGTTCTTAATCAAATAAAGCACCTTCATTTCCTCACCCTGACTTTCTGATACCATAATAATAATATTCCATCTTTCCTATGATCATGTTTGAAAGATTGTTCAGCAGATTTCTCTTTAATCCCTGGTGCTGGATATGTACAATACACATGAATTAATGATTTAAAAAATGAAAGTCAAAAAGCATCGAAGATATTTTTATTCATCTGTACAGAATTAAGACTTCATTTTTTTGTACCCACATAGGGCATGCAATATTTTTAGAATTCCTCATCAAGCATCGTAGGAAAACATGACCAAATTCTGTATCAATGGTATTGAATTATTTAATCATCTGTTCTGGAAAGAATCTAGGAAATATTAGGCATATAAAAATAATTGCAGATTAATGTGGATTTTTTTACATAAGCCATCATCTTTATACATATAATACTATAAACAAATACTTACTGTACCATGGGAAATAGTTAGGAAGCCATTTTTAACAATGCACTTTCTCTTCTGCCACACCTTCCTGATTCTGTTTTATTAAAAAAATAAAAGAGACATAGAGATCTTCATTATAAATTAATTTGAGCTGCTGAAGAAATCCCAAATTTTATTTTTAAATTCAAAATGCTGCAGCATTATTGTACATACCCATCACTTTTCTTATAAAGGCTGCCATCTCTTTCAGTGCCATGCTCCTTATTTCCCTGAGGTTGGTGTAAACTATACGTTGTACTTTGACGGAGTTGAGAATCCTATAAAAGGAATAGTGGCTAGAGATTATTGTGGCTTGGGTAATTATTTTTATTTATTAAATATGCTTGCCACCCATCTTGCCACAAGGTTAATCCAATCATTTCGGAATAATTTTTTCCTAATCTCATTATTCATATTTGAAGAAATATGAATTGCTAAGTTTACTAAGTATATATCATGAACTATTCAAGTACCAGACAATATCAACATCACTTAAATACACCTAGGCCCGTGGTGGCGAACCTATGGCACGTGTGCCACAGGTGGCACGCAGAGCTCTCTCTGTGGGCACATGCACCGTCGCCCCAGTCCTGGGCCTTCAGCTCAGTTTTATAAAACCTTTTCGCTTTAGACCTCCGCCGCCGTATGCACACAAAAAAAAGGTTCAATCAATCAATTTCAACTTCTCGTGGGAAAAAAAAAGATCTCGCAAAGTTGGAATTGATTGATTGAACTTTTTAGTCCCACCCAGTCTGCCGTTACCACCGCAGCCACGCCCACCCAATGGGCCACGCCCACCCGGCACCCAACCATACATAAGTGGTTTTGGGTTGCAGTTTGGGCACTCGGTCTCTAAAAGGTTCGCCATCACTGACCTAGGCTGTAAATGTGGTAGGGAGACAATCCCCCAGATTTGAAAATTCATCGTATTTGCAATGCTAAAGACTCTTTTACCCCATATCCAGGCCCTCGCAGCCTCCAATCACTGGGACAGGGCATCCATAGCATCATTCAGGCGACTTGGAGCGGTGATATAAAGCTGACTATCATCAACATATTTGTGATGCCATACCCCAAACCATTAGGATAACCTTACCCAGGGCTTTTTTTTCTCATAGAAAGCCCAGAACGGAGTTCCCGCACCTTTTTTGGATGGAACCTTGTAAGGTAGGCAAGGCGGGTTGTATGACGTGTGTGAGTTCCGGCATTTTTATTTTTTTTTTACAAAAAAAGCACTGACCTTACCCAGTGGCCTCATAAACAGCAAGGGAGAAAGGACCGAGCTATGCAGCCCAGCACAAAGTAAGGGGTTCCAACCGGACCTCTCCTGTCCTATCAACACTAACTAGAACAGCGGTTCTCAACCTATGGGTCGCGACCCCATTTGGGATCGATCGACCATTTCACGGGGGTCGCCAAGCAAGGCTGTCCGCCATTTTTCCCCCCTTTTCCGGCGGGTGCCTTACTGGGCCAGCTGGTGGTCGGCCTGCTGTCTCTGCCGCTTGCCAGCTACGCCTCGGCCGGCGCAGGGGACGGAACCACGCATGCGTGGCGCTCCCGGGCAGGGAAAGTCCTCGACTTACGACCGGTTGGGTAGTCCTCGACTTACGACCGGTTTAGTCCTCGACTTACGACCGGTTTAGTCCTCGACTTACGACCGGTTGGGGGTCGCGGCATTAAAAAGGTTGAGAACTACTGAACTAGAACTAGCTCCAGAGGGAGGAAGAGAGCCAATACAACACTGTACTGCCCATCCCCAACTCTCAAACCCAGTCCAAAAATGTACAATGGTCAATGGTATTGAAATCTGCTACGGTGTCAGAAGAGCAAGGAGGCACATACGATCCCATCCTCTTCCCACCAAAGATCATCTAAGAGTGCGACCAATGCCATCTCTATCCCTTTTCCTGATCTGAACCCCAACTGAAAGGAGTCAGATACTTCCCAAGCTACCTTAGACCCCAACCCCAGAAAAAGTAAATTGAAGTCCCCAAGACCGTAAACCTGGGGAACTCCACCACCAACCTGGCCACGGATTCAGGGAGGTTCCTATGTAACAGGGGGGCTGGTACAGTTGCAACATTCCCTACTGATTCCTACAGCCAAACTTAACAAATAAGGTCTTGCACCCAGTAATCTGTGGAGGGCAGTACCCCAAGAGGCCTCCCAAGAATCTAAAATGACCATCAATATTTGATTCCATGTAGCCTCCCATGCTGGCCTTCCAGTTACGGGCAACCATCAATATTCCATGCTATTATGCAGGCTCAGTCCTCAGTGTTTGTTTGTTTTTTTGTCTTTGGGTGGTATTTCTGAAATTCTGCTAATATAATATGAATATGATTTATGTTATTTTGGCTACAGAAGGACTAGTATAAAAAGAACTGAGACCACTAGTAATAGCACGTATAAACGTTCGACCTGTGTCCAACTGATCTGTGTTAAACAATTAAATATATAATCTCACAAAATGCCAAATGGAAGAAATTATTGACATGCTGGTCTCTTAAGAAAAAACAAACCAGTTTCTTGACAATACGTTACAATCATGCAGAGTATTTTTTTATTAAAAAAATGTTTTTAAAGGACTTACTCTCCTAGACTTCGGTCACAAAAGGCAAATGCATTTTAGGAAGAAAAGTAGATCAGTTGCAATGCAAAAAAACACACGTAGTAGACAGCATAGCAGAAGACTACAGTAACAGGCAATTGTATACATACAGCTTTAAAAGCATACTTCCCTTTATTTGCTCAGGTTTCAAAGTTGTGTATGCCAAACTACCACTAAACAGATACTGCTGAACAGGTAGTCCTCAACTTGCAAACATTTGTTTAGTAATGGTTCAAAGCTACAACAGCATTGAAAAAAGTGACTTACTCTCACTTAGAATTATCGAAGCAGCCCCATAGTCCCCTGATCAAAATCTGGACACTTAGCAACCAGCATGTATATTTATGGTGGCTGTAGTGTCCTGGGGACATGTGATTGCCATCTGCCTCCTTCCGAACTGTCTTTCAGCAAGCAAAGTCAATGGGGGAAGCCAGATCCACTTAACTATTGCAGTGATTTGCTTAAGAAGTGTGGTTAAAATAAAAGTTGTAAAATCGGTCACAACTTACTTAATAACCATTTGGTCCCAACTGGTTGTAAGTCAAGGACTACCTCTACTAAAATCTTTACATAGTTTACAAGTTTTAGCATACATGGGTGAGCATGTGGTGAATAGCACTCAGAAGGAGCAGATAATAATGTACTAACAGCTAATTATTTTGTTTCCTACTCATAAAGTCCAGGTGATTCATCCCAATCTGAAAAGGCTAGAAGCCTTCGGGGGAGTCTTCCAACTAAAACTATAATCCAAAGAAGTAACCCAAACTTTCAGGGGTATTAATGTAAAATCAGCTAGAGTGTCTATGAAGTTTTTAATGCATTTATAATTCTAATAGTCCCACTATTTTCCCCCTCTGATTCAGTAATACTGCCTCAAGCTAGACACAGTAATTATTTTCAACAGAGCAACATGTTGAAAATTTTGACAGAGAGAAGGGAACTTGTCTGGAGACTGTTGTGGTGAAGGTTGCAGAGGGACTACCCATGGACACTAATGTAGGGCCTTGTATCTAATAGATAAGGTAGAATGTGCAGCCTTTTTCAGGCTGAGGTGACTTAGCTTCTGAGTAGAATGCCAGGACCTGAACTTCACCAAATGACTGGGATGAGTATTAAGTGGGTGAGGCCAGGACAAAAATTACATGTATTAGAATTTCTAATTTAATTAGCCAGTTAATATGATTACTCACCATATACTTAATAATTTCCCATTGCCTTCACATATATAAAAATTATAGTTCTAAGATAAATTCTGGGAGGAGTCTGGGAGCTAAAGATTATATACAAAAACATGTCTAAGAATCCAGTGACATCTTTGCAGAAAAAGGCGGAGAGATTTGACACTTTCAGTGAAACCCTTTTGTCTTTGTTTGTTTACATGAACTTCGGGAGCAGTGCCTACAGAACAATATACTGAAGTTTCCCAGGAAAAAAATTTTTTTTTTAAATCTTGCAATTTGTATGACAGTGTCCCAGTTAAAAACAAGTCAGAAAGGCTTTGGGCACAAAAGGAATAAGCCATGCAGAAATTTTCTAAGAAATCTGAGCAAAATCATGTGGAATCTAATGCAAAATGTATTAATGTCACACAATCAATAAATCAGTAAATGCTTCCGTTAAACCTGAAAAGCACATTGTATCGGTTTATATGCTCACCTCCTTCTGATCAACCTGAAGTGCAGATTTTAAAATATCCCTAAGTTGAATTAATTGCTTTCTTTCTTCATCCTGCACTTGCTTTATCTGGAGTGGAGACATAACAGTTCAAAATAAAATTGTCAATGCACATTTTGTATGGGTGTAGGGAAAACGCTTCTTGCCTTTAGAGAACAGAACAACTCAGAGACCAGGAACATACTCGCATCAGTAGTTGCTGTGAAGGCTTCACTACAAAATCAGCATAGTTCTCAGCATCTGTTGCTAAGAAACACAATGGGGCCAGGATTCTAATATTCTCATGTCTCGACTGTAGGCTGCTTCAAAGAATCTTATTAGACATCATGAAAAATAATGTTGGACTAGGCACTTTTTCAGTCTGAGGCGGCAATTCCATCTCCCTTTTCCTGTCAGCAGTAATTCAGATTAACATTAATTTTACCTATTATATTGTCCTAAAAATATATATTTATGTGACCACTAAGAGTTCATACAACTTGATGGCACGTAGTCAGCCAATCAGTTATCACAATTAGGTTCTTCCTTATCAATGTTTGATTAAAAAAAACCCCAAGGCTAATAAGTATATGCTGAGGGGTTACAACAAGAGGACAAAATTCTGACTCTGTGGTCTGGGCTTTATCCCTATTATTGTTGTCATTATTAGTATTTAATCATTAATCAATATTTTAGTTGGATTAGAAAGATACTAGTATAAAAGACCTAGGTCCTTTCAGCATGATTAGATTTGAACAACTTCTAGAAGTTCAGCTAACACAGAACAGACTACTCTTCTGCACATCAACACCGCTAACCTCTGGCAGACCATTACTAATCTCATCCCCAGACATTTATGACTCAGAAATGTGTTTTCAAAATCATTTAAAGGTTTGGAGTTTTCTTAACACTTTTGTCCTCCCAGGGCATGGTCTTCTTTATCTTTACATCCATATGGAAGAACGCTAAACACATTCCTTGGTAATTAATAAAACAATCGACATTAACCAAACCCAAAAGACAATAAAAAAAACACTAAACTGTGTACAACAAGGTTAATTTTTTAAAATATCTAGAAGGGGATATATTCCTGAGGCAGCTTTTACCTTATAAATGACTGAAGAAATAAGCATATCTTCAGTTGTCTGGATTAGAATAATTCAGTACAGTGTTTCCCCATCTTATCAACTGAAAGATGCGTGGACTTCAACTCCCAGAATTCCCCAGCCAGCATGCATCTAAAAGTTGCTGAGGGTGAGAAAACACTGGCTTAGAGGACCAGATGCACCTCTCTCAGGAAAGAGCTCTGCCATCTTCTATGCTGCCACTGAGGTCCTATTCCTGGCCACCACACTGCAAGGGAATCCCATCAACAAGGCCTCCCCATGTGATCTCAGTTCACAGGTGGGGTACTATTGGGAAAGGTGATCTTTTAAGCACTTGGGTTCAGTTCATCTGTCCCTTCCTATAGTACCATGGCCATCCAATAACACCAAACTGCATGATTTACAGGAAAGGTAGGCAGGCAGACTACCATCACGTATCTGTTGATCTTTCACTTAATATGAAGACCAAGAGAAGAGGCAAATTTAAGAAAATCTAGACATTCTGCTTCCCCCCTTTTTAACCTTTTCAGTTCAGAAAATTTAAAAGCTGGTTTTCCCCCCACCAGTATATAGCCCCTTGTAAATGATTTACTTTCTTGTTTCTAAACTTTAAATAAACACAGCTATCGTTTTTTGTTGGTTTGTTTTCAAATTTACAATTTTGTGTTTTATGAATTGTTTGAGTTCCTTCAGGAAGTCCAATTCAGAAGTTGAGAAAAAGTCCAAAAATACGATTAACGTTCAACTACTTACAGTGTGAAGATCTGTGGAGAGCTTTTCTATTGAGGGTTTGAGGCTTTCAACCGCTTTCAGGCCATCCTGAAAGAAGCTGTGAAAGAAAAACAAGTTTTTCAAAAGGAACTACAAAAGTTAATGTAAGGCTTCCAGAGCTTCGTAAAAGACATAAAATATTTGCTAATTCAAAGTATTAGCTTTGCTTAATACACATTTATGCATTTTATGATGCTCAAGGGGTCCACTACTGAAATTAGAAAATCTGTGAAAAGCCTTCAGCATATATACATACAATACTTTCTGAAGTAAGAAATCTTTTAAAGGCATAAGATAGGCAAGAGTCAGAAATCCCAGGATAAAAGCAATGGCTGAGTTCACACAAAACAATGAGTTTTAATCCTGGTTTGCTGAAAAGGAAAGTACTTTGGGATTTTTAATGGTAAGTAATATATAAATGTTTTAAATAAACACATATATTAGAAATAGTCCACAATGGATCAGTTTATGCATCATACCAAGTCACAGACTAGGAATTGTATCACTGGAAGGCAGCTTTCTTTTCTCCCCATTTCTTTCTTTGGGTCTGAGTGGGATTTAATCAACCTTATTTATGTCCAGGATACACTTACTGCCGATATCTAAGTTTGGAGGCAGAGCTATACTCAGTCTCCGTTGAGGTGCAGTTTGCACTGCTAAGGTACTATCCAAAATTAGAATGCCTTCAAGGTAAATTGTGTTACTTGCATTATTGGCAGGGAAAAAAGATATCAAACTTTTACCTCACATTCTCTAACTATACAGGTAGTCCTCGACTTAACAACAGTTCATTTAGTGACTGTTCAAAATTACAACGGCACTGAAGAAAGCGACTTAACGACCGTTTTTCACGCTTGCAACCACTGCAGCATTCCTCACGGTCACGTGATCAAAATTCGGATATTTGGCAACATATTTATGATGGGTGCAGTGGCTCCAGGGTCATGTTATCAACCTTTTGCAAACGTCTGACAAGCAAAGTCAACAGGGAAGAAAAATTCACTTAACAACCCTGTTACTAACTTAACAGCTGCAGTGATTCACTTAACAGCTGTGGCAAAAAAAAAAGTTGTAAAATGGGGCAAAATTCACTTAACAAACGTCTCGCTTAGCCACAGAAATTTTGAGCTCAATTGCGGTCCTAAGTCAAGGACTACCTGTACTCCCTGCTTCCCATGAAAGAACTTAAAATTTTCGACCAGAAAAAAACTGTGGAGATCGACTCTTCAAAAGGGATACCGGTAGAGACACTGTTGTAGCAGTCATCAAAGTATTCATTCAAACACCCCTAAGATATAAGAAACAAAGAAGCCTCTTCCAGTATCTGATTAGCACTATCTGTGCGTCACTCAGGAAAGGTTTTACATCCATTAACTCAACAGATTATGCCTTCAGCATATCTTGAAAGAGAAGGACGTTCTACAAATACTTCACTGAGCAATGCTATTGTCCCTGTGTCACCTGCCAAGAGGAGGACATCATTCACCATATCCTCTACTGCCCTCTCTATCAGATCGGAGGAAAAATATTGATGATAGAGAAACTTAAAGGATCAAATGCAAAAGGACTGGATTATCTCTTGCAGATGCAATTTCTGTTTGTTAGCAGTCGGGTCTTTATTTCTGCTACACTCTTTCGAGGTCAGAAACAAATGTATACGATCAAAATTACAGCACTGGGTAGCTAGTGTTAATTTCCTTGTATGTTGCACATTGGTTTATGCAGGCGGCGTCTGTTTTTATTACTATTTGTTTTTTCATGCCACGCTACATTTTTATGACCTGCAATTACAACAATAAACTGATACTTGTTCATTCCAACCGTCAAGGCTTGTTTAATTTTAATGGTATTACCTAAAGTTGACAGTCAGCAGAATATTCTGGAAAGCAATATTACTATCATTTCTGCTGTGACTATGATTTACAAAGCTCAGTGGCTGGATTCACATGCTACATTAAAATAAACACAATACAAATGGGTTTTGTTCAATAAACCATGGCTAGACAAACCATACTTCCACATTTCCCATCTGTAATCTTCTATGAGATGTTACAGGTAGTGCTCACTTAATGATCATCCATTCAGCAACTCTTCAAAGTTATGACAGCACCGATCATACGATACTTACACCTGGTCCTCAAAAGGACAGCCACCGCAATGCCCATGCAGTTGCATAATCAAAATTGCCCTGCACCCCACCACCCCTGCTGTCCTGCACCCCACCGCCCTGCACTCTGCACCCATCTCCCCTGTCCTGTACTCCACCATCCTGCCACCGCATGCCCTGGGCTCCCCACGCCCTGCGACCCTCATGTTCTTTCTCCAACTGCTGATGAGGGGCACCTGGCCCGGCCCTGCGCAAGGCAGCTGCTGGCCGCACAAGGCTGGGCTTCCAGCAGGGGCAGCAGAGCACAGGGCAGGAGAAGTGCAGGTGGGGGCACAGGGTGGGAAGGGCGGTGGAGCACAGAACAGGAGGAGGGGTGGCAGAGCGCAGGGCAAATGGCGTGCAGGGCAGCCAAACAGGCACAGCTGGGGAGAGATGGTGGGTGGGTGGGTGGGTAGAGCTGAAGCGGTGGCAAACATAGCAGGGCAGGAGAAGCATGAGATTCTTGCCTAACAACAGGACAATTCTGGCTTAAGCATCGCAAACAGAACTACCAAAACTGACATCGCAAAAGGAGCAGTCATGTGATGTTAATAACATCGCTTAGCAACAGAAACTCCAGTTCAAATTGTGGTCATTAAGTGAGAACTTCCTATATTCTTAACAATCTCTGGAGAGGAGAGTTTAAAAGGAGAAAGGGTACTAGACTCCTGATTGTTTAAGCATCTGATATTTTGAGATTAACATTATTAAAATCTCCCAGCCTGAGTAAGCAACATGATGTCCACACACACACGCCTCCTTTGGTTTCTGACCAGTTTCTCTGCCCTTCTTAAAAATTCTCTGTCTTAAAAGAATAAAAGCCTTTAGCACCAGTCTCTAGCATCAGAATTATCTACAGCAATATTTATGGATCCCACAATTTCCATGGATTGGCAGAGATAATTTCTGACAGCAAGTTTGCCCTTCTGATAGATGAGCATTTTCGCACTGGCTCTGACAAATATTTTGTAAGAGTATCTAGTACAGGTTGTCAAAATCCCAATTTTTCCCTGCTCTGAAAAAGTATTCTACAATATTATGGAATGCATATTCCAAAGTATTAATCTGTATAGAAATTGCCAATGTTAAATTCTCACTCATGCAAGCAGATTAAACTATGTGTTTTGAATTACTATGGCCCCAGTGAACTAATTTCCTTCTTTGAAACAACACTGACTTAGCCCTATTTTTAACAAGAAAATTGTTTTTTGCTATAATGCCCAGATGGGATGATGAAAATCAGAATTCTGCAGTTTCTCCTTGCTTACTTTAGCCAAGTGAATGAGGTTCCAATCCCTCTCCCAGTTAGTAATCTGACAAATTCTATAACTTATGGTATAGACTTGCTCTATAAAACATGAAATATTTTGAGCTTAAAATGCACTGTGGACTCTTTGGAGCTTAGAACATTTTAGAGTGCCCAGAACACTTCTAGCAAAGTTGGAACAACTTATCTTAAATGTGAAGAACCTGTTTTGAATTAAGGAATATTTCCTGCTTGAACTATTTCAAACTTTGAAAGTTTTGGCACTCTCCTAATAGCAGCCTGCTTCACTTTTTTTAATGACAAGATTTATGTCTAAGTAGCCACATGGAAATTAAGGATGAAATATTAGTATATGCCATAATATTATCTCTGTCTATACCTCATTTAATTGGAAATAATAAATCCTTAAGACAACAATCAACCCTTTAAATCTCTGTGCTTGATAGAATACCTGTGAAAGATGAATAGTTGAGGTGTACAGATTTTTTTTTACATATCAGTGATGCAATCTGCCATACAAACTAATAAGAACACTGTTTTCAGACAGCACATTGTTATCATGATGAAAAACATACTTGCACTGCGCGTGGAAATACTTGATTAGATTTTGAAGCAAGTCAACTCCTTTCTTAATCTTGATTTCATTGACTTTCAGGAGATACTGTTGATAAAGCAGAGGGGAAAAATATTTACTGTTTTTGGAATTAGAGTAGTGTACAAGTGATATTCAAGTTTTTTAAATCATTTCAAATAGCATAGGCACTGTAGAGTACATGCTGCCTGAGAAGGTTGTCTTAGTTATTAAGCTTAGTAAATAAACTTAAGGTAAATAATAATTTAATCATGATTTAATTATTAATGATGTGTTAATTAAATAAAGGAACCTATGGGCACTCAATTTGTATAAGATTCTCAAGTAAACTATTTTAATCCATTATTTTCATCCCACAGCCCCACATACATAAACATATTGCTTGTAACTATTTAATAGAAGACACTGTTAGTCGCTTTCCTTAAATAATAAAAAAATGAATAATAAAAAAGTGTCCAAATTTCAAATATATTTTCTATATGTGTCATGCCTCCATTGGAGCCTGAATCTGCTGAGGAAAATGAGCTGGAACTGGAGCCTATGGAGGTCGCGGGAGAGGTGTCTGTGGCTTCAGAGGGATGTGGGGAAGAGCAGGCCGAGGCAGGCCAGGGCCTTTCAGGATTGGGACAGGATGAACATGAGACAGAGCTCAGGCGATGAGCAAGGGCCACCCCCTCCTGATCCTAGAGCACAGAGAGTGGAGAGGAGGAGGGAACAACACAGGCAGGCTCAACTACTCTGAAGGAGAGCACCCCGCCCCTCTCCACACCTGGAGACTCAGACTTAAGGAAGCGCTGTAGGGAGAGGCATTTGTCAGGAACAAACGCTGATTTCTTGGAGTTCTGTGTGCTGTTGCTGATCTTGGAAACAACTCTCTGATCTCTTGTTGTGATTTCTGCTTGGAAACCCTGAAACTCTGACCACTGGACTGGCTGACAAATTTGATTTGGTGTTCAAAGACCTCGGATTGTATTTTGGCTTCTCTTCTGAAACTGCTCAGGCAAGCTTGTATTTCCACAGATTCCTTAGATTTTGGATGTATGTTTCATTCCTTGTTAACTACGTGGCCTTGAGTAAATTACTCTTCTAATCTAACTGTATGTAAGACTACTTGAAGCCAGAGGCTGCTGAAAGTGTGTGTGTCTTACTTTGTTCTGGGGCTTGCCAGAAACGTGGGAGCATTTGGGGAAAATTGGAGCAAATAAAGGGTGGTTTGAATTGCCAGCTGACTGCATTGCCTCTGTGCCGTGCCCTGGATCATCACAATAATCAAGCCACTCTAGAAAGCACTTCCCACCTAAAAAATATTACTATATTAAACAAATGTATCTTTTATATAGGCTAACATAAACTAAAACAAGCAATTTTCCAAAAAAACACCTAGAATTGTTCATGTCTGCTCAGATGAACCATCAATTTCTTTTTGCTTAATATTATCTCAGAATCCAACTAAAAAAAAGCCAAAAGAAAAGACACACAGAGATGCAATAAACATTTTATGATCACAACCCCTTGTGTCCTTATTGAGAAAATTCTTCCAATGGGTATTTTAAGTATGAAGTTATTTGTTCTTTTATTGTTGTGAAGAATGAGACACAACAGGGGGGGGGAAATAACAGAAGAACCCCAAAGCACACGCTGGAACAGAGAACTGAACCTTCCCTACACAATTACAGAGACACTTTCTGCTTTACTTATAGCATTCTCACAGTTCTAACTTTGTGCCATAATTCCTCAGTTTGCTACTCTGCAGGCAGTCCTCGACTTATGACCTCTATTTTTCTGTCCTTTTATAAGGCACCAATTTCCTACATCACTGCTGAACTCTTTTACTGGTTCTTTTGGGATCACATTCAGATTGGTAGACTTGGTTAGTGTTTATTTCCAAACCAAGATTTGAAAGGCAGTTTCGAAACAGAGTTTTAATCACTATGCTAACCAGAGCTGATCCAATTTAGACCAGTGGTTCTCAACCTTTTTAATGCCGCGACCCCAACCGGTCGTAAGTCGAGGACTAAACCAGTCGCAAGTCGAGGACTAAACCAGTCGTAAGTCGAGGACTAAACCGGTCGTAAGTCGAGGACTACCCAACCGGTTGTAAGTCGAGGACTTTCCCTGCCCAGGAGCGCCGCGCATGCGTGGTTCCGTCCCCTGCACCTGCCGAGGCATAGCTGGCAAGCGGCAGAGACGGAGCAGGCCGACTACCAGCTGGCCCAGCCCAAGGGAGGTAAGGCACCCGCCGGAAAAGGGGAAAAAATGGTGGACAAAAAAAATGGCGGACAAAAAAAATGGTGGACAGCCTTGCTTGGCGACCCCCGTGAAATGGCCGATCGACCCCAATGGGTTTTCCGACCCACAGGTTGAGAACCACTGATTTAGACACAATGCTATATTGTTAATTTAAGTAGTAGACATATGTGGGAAGACAACAGGAATGGAAAAAAATGAGGAGGAGAAAGTTACCCACTGGACTCCCAATCTTTTTCCCAAAGATAATTTCAAGCAGCAGGACAGATACCATTATATTGTTTAAGCCTAAAGAACAACCAAGTTGAAAACCAAAATTAGCCCACCAAATTATTGCAGAACAATGCAAACGCTGAAGAGCCATTACATCTCTTCAAGGCATCCGCAGCATTTTCTCGGCAGCTGTTAAACATCCCTGCTTAAATAAATCAACTGAAATTTTCATTTTCTAACACTACTATGCAGCAGATGGTAACTTAAATGCATAAAAGAGACAATCCTCTAAGCCTAGGATGAAATGGTTATATAAATATTTTGAGCAAGGGGGCTGGTTTATAATCTGCAAATCTGTTGATTTATCATGGATAAAACGGAAAGTAATTGTGCCAACAGAAGAAATACGCCAAAATAAAAACCAGAAGAATCAAAGTTCTCTTCAGAGTTTTCCCACAGAACGCCTATAACACAATTCATTTGTGTTAGGGAAGAATAAAAATTGTCCCATGTTTTACCTCACACATCTGCAATTGGAAGAATCTTCGCTCTTTTTCCATCTCTTCTGCTATTTCGGCCCCACTAATTTCTGTACGAATCATTCCGTGCAACTTAGCATGTTCTTTTTTCTCTTTTTCTATTTTTGTCCTGTATGGAAGAAAAACAATAAAATTATGCTTTACCCTAAGCTTTAATTGTTAATTCTTTCAGAACGGCACCACCCATTTTAAATGGAAGTTCAAAGCATCATCAAAATTAGTGAGGTAATGCTAATTTGTTTGAGAACTAAGAAAGGGAACCCCAAATGCTATGATTCAGTTCATGCAGTTCCAGTTCAATGCTTCTGCATTAACCAATGTGAACAACCAGGAGTTGCACTAGATCTTTCTGAACGAGTTCTTATGACGCTCCATATGGTGTCTAGACCGCTCCTTAATAACTGAAAAGTCCAAGAGGAAATTGTACTATGGAGAGCCTTTCCATAATCTACAGGCAAAGCGACATATGTTACTGAAATGTCCCCATAACTTGGCCTACTTTTACTATTTTTCACTGTCATTTGCCATCTTTCCATAATCAGCATTCTATCCAGCTATGAGCTTTATACAGCTTTTCCTTGTTGGAGAGCACTTTGCCTTCATCCCAATCTGCCCAGACCACAGCTGTCACCTCTTCCTGTTCCTGAGCCAAGTGGTGCTGTAAATGCAATCCAGAAGAGAGGACTAAAGGCTTCCAGGTTTTAGCAAACCAGCTGCCCGGACTACCTCAAGGTCTCTGCCAATATTTTAGGTTGAATACAGGCAGCAGTCATATACTGAACAAAAACTGAACATGAAACCTACAAAGCAAAAGTAAATTAGGGGAATGAAAGGAGTCGCTCAGTTTGTGCATTATGCATTCCAAATTATTGTTCTTGAAATGAGTGAGTCTGCTCTCAAAAACAAAATACTGTATCATATATTTATAGCACATTTATCTGATTTGTTAGCCAAAAATGCTCTAATACGCTCAATTTAAAAAATAGACCTGCTTAAAATTTGAAATCCAAACACTATGATTAAAGGGATGGGAAGGGAAGTACAAAAACCAATTCTTAAATAAAGAACAACTTGCAGAATCCAATCTGGATTCAGTCACCAGGACCAGAGTTTTTGTCTTCTGAGATTCGTGCAGGAGCCCATCCTCAGAGAATTCTCTGAAAACTCGGAAGATTAAACCTTGTTCCCGGTGACTGACCCTGATTGGATCCTGTAACATTATCCTGAGACACATATATTTCCCTTCATTCGTGAAAGAACAATTTGATGTGATTCATTGCTTCCCTTGACATTTTCCTCAGTTGTAACCTGATGAATGTCTACCACTTTTTAAAAAAATATTTATGTGCAGAAATATAGCATCCTTTGAAAACATTTGGAAGTAGATTTCCAGGCAGGAGGAAAGACTGTGTAGAAAAGGAGGAACAAATTGTGCTTCTGGGAAGAATAAAGTGACTTATTGCTTGGGCTGCCTTGCAAGCGAGACACTATAGACTAGCCCAGGGGTAGGCAACCTTGGCTCTTTTATGACTCGTGGACTTCAACTCCCAGAATTCCTGAAGTTGAAGTCAGGAATTCTGGGAGTTGAAGTCCACGAGTCATAAAAGAGCCAAGGTTGCCTACCCTGGACTAGCCATACCCCAACTTGGCATGCCCCCTCCCCCAAGAATTTTCAGTCAGCATAATGTGTGAAGATTTTAGGAGTTGTTCTCATAGCACATCAGGAGGGATTGCTAAGTCTTGTTTACCAGAGAAACCAACTTCCAATATATGTAAATTCATACAGCACATATTATTCAGGGAATGCTGAGACATCTTTATTCGCAGGATGTAGATTGCAGGCATTGTTTTGTTCGAATTTATTAAGAGCTTCCATAACAACTAACATTATGATAAATAACACATCCTTCCTATTATCATGTTCCCAGCATGATCGTATCGCAGCAGTGCCTGGATGTTTCTGTATTTTAGTCACACAAGGCACCAAGAAAATTATTCTGTTGTTTTATCATATATTCTCAATTCTGGCAATATAACTTTATTTCTCAGTTCTGGCAATAAAACTTTTAATAAAATATGGTGATGATGTACAATTATTTCTCTTGTTTCCTCTGTAATGCCCTGTCACTATAATTTTAAATCTGGAGGTGCTTAGACTGGCTACAACCAACACTAAAATCAGTACCAATAGGAGAGAATATATGTACTGTAGTTCAAGATTGAACTATGGAGTCCTTGGTGCTCTCTGACTTTGGTTTTTGCTTGAACATGTTTCATTATCCTACTAGGTAACATCACTGATGATGTTACCTAGTGGGGTAATGAAATGTCTGTAAGCAAACAACTACACCCAGAGAGCATCAGAGGCTTCAGAAATATCAGTGTTGATGCCATATTAATAATAGTTTAAGCTGTGAAACTTAGATGGAAAGGGCAATATTCATCCCTCTGGGATGTGATAGTTGCACAATCTTGATAGATACTTCCAAATATTAGTATCAAGGGACTTACTTCTGGACCAGCTCTTATAAATAGTATGTTCTTTGAAAGATGACAAAAGAGACAATAGCACTGAAGATTCAGAGTTGTTTTATCTGATCATATGGGAAAGAATGATCATCAAATTAATATCTGTCGTTACCTAGAGATGCTAAGCTAAATTAGTAAAGGCAATTAATTGGTTCACTGCTTACTTGAATTAAAGAATTCAGAATATATACAGTTGTAATACAAGCCCACAGGCAAGAAAACAAACACTAAAGGGATGTTGGGAAACAATCTAATTTGTATCACAGAACTAATGCCTTTCTTTGTCTCTGGAAATAACTTGGGAAAAAAGGGATGCACATGAATGTATGAAAGACTACGAAAGTTAGCTTATACCAATTGAAAGATTTTGGAATTCAGATCCTGTTAATTACAAACTTTGCAAATACTGTACATATTCTTTACAACTGTATTTTATACTGTATATAGCTAGCATGATCTTGAGTCCAGTGGCACTGTAACCTAAACGACATATTCTATCTTGAAATCTGCACAATCTTTGAGAATGCAATCAAGTTGGGGAAAAAAATCATAGTAACTCGGTATTACTGACATTGCATGCTAAAAATTGTTCTGATTAATGACCAGGAGTGATGCAGATTTGAAAATATACCAACCCAGACCATTGGCCCACATAGCTCAGTGTTCCCCTCACTGATGGTCAGTAACTTCAAAATGAAGCATTTCCAAGCCCCACCTAAAGATGCCAGAGATTGAATCTGGGTACCTCATGGGCAAACCTCACACTCTGTCACTGATTTTACCATTTGTATCTAAGTAACTTCACTCCTAGACTTGAAGACTAAAAGTGGAAAGGGACATTCAAATATACTCACAAACACCACCTAAGTTATTCCTTCTTTTTTTTTCCAATATAAAATTTTATTATTTTTCATCATAAAAAAAAAAGATTTTCACAGATACTACACAATGCTATTAAAAAAAACCCCACCCCCCCGGACTTCCCAAACCTAATCCCAGGATAATATTCAGATATAAGTAAACAAGTATTAATATCTCTAATGTTCCCCATAAAAGACGCAAGGTTTTTCATTATTTAAGACATTTTAATAATGACATTACATGTTTACAAGAGACTCATATTGTGGCTAAAGATCAAAAATTATTACTGAACTCTAAGCTTGGAGATTTGTTTGTTGCATCTGCTTTAAAAAAAAGAGCTGGGGTTGCAATATATATTAAAAGACACCTCTCACCTATTTTAAAAGAAGCTGATAAAGAAGGAAGATTCTTATTTGTGGAAATAAATTTAAATGGAAGGAAGTGTTTAATAGTAGGGGTTTATGCCCCTAATCAACTTTCATCTCAAAAACAATTTTATAGACAACTACATCAGAAAATTGTGGCTATGGATTATAATTCTTTGATTGTTATGGGGGACTGGAATGGGGTACTTGATACGTTAAAAGATAAAAAAACAACTTCTAAGGATGTGACCCTTTCCAGGCTCCCCAAGTCTTTTTTTGCAATGATGGAAGATTTGGAGTTGGTGGATGTTTGGAGATCACAACATATGAATG